CTCGCCAATTCCATTCCACATGATTTTTGGGCATGTCACTGATCTGAGGCTTGTAGCTTAGCATCCCCCTCCAGTCCCGCGGCACGACACTAAATACCCAACTTGTCCAAGGCCATCGTGTCGCTTGGCCTGATCTTGATCTCGTCTCCCGCACTTTGCCTGCTCACCGACAACACCCGCCTGCCGGCTCCCGGATCCCAGAAGAGGAAAAAAAGAACCAACAACTGGGTCTTTTGCTCTCTCTCTTCTCCAGTGCCTGGTTCCCGCTTGGCCCTCGCCCAGCCCACACTGCTTCCACTCGGCTTTCTTTCTCCTCCTCCCAATCTTCGTCTTCTCGCCTCGCCTCGCATCGCATTACAGCGCAGCGCAGTGCATCGCACGTCGCATCGCCACCATTCAGGCTCCTCTTTGCTCTTCTCTTCGAGCAATCAAAAAATCAGGGCAAGCCAGCTCTCCCAAGGCAACCAGCCGCCCAGGCGTGGCCGATTCGTCTAGACTGCAGTGGCTGCGGCTTAGTTTGTGCATACAACCTTGTCTTACGCCTTGTAACGGAGCGGTCGACAGACCCGCAATAGCTGCCCAGCACCAGCTGCCACTGTTTTCCACTCGCACCCAATCGCGCTTCTTTTTGCGCCCAACTGCACGATCTCTCGCCAAATAGCAGGGGGCTTCCCTGGTTACATCCCAAGAGCCCACGAACGAATATCCACCCACCGACTGCCGCCCACCCCTCAATTTTCGCAAACCGCCCGTCTTGCAACTCAGTCGCCCTCACAAAACAAAACTCTCTTTCCTCGCAATCCTGCTGTTGCGCACATTGGAATCCCGTCATCTGATCAGCTTTCTGCCCAAGTGTCGCCCGTCCGTCGTCCGCTTTTTTGGTTTTGTTCGTGCCAGCTATTCATCCCAACTTGGATACCCCCTCTTGTCACTGCGAACCGCGCAAGGACGAACGCTGCACGGCCTCATCCAATCTACACACCAACTTCTCTCTCCGGTTTCCCGTACCGGTAGCCAACACCCTCAGTAACCTCGCCGGACCGTTTCGCGCAAATCTCTCTTTAATCACGCCGCTCTCCCTTCCGAGTCTGTCGTGCGAAGAGGGTTTTCCCACCGCCCACGCACATACACACACACACTCACTTCCTTATTATGTCGTAAGTGTTGTAATTTTCAACTAGGCCACCGGACAACCGACTCGGTGACATTCACACAACAAACAACACTCAACTAACACAATCCGGAAGACACGGTTTAAGAGATCGTTTTGCTTCATCCCGCGGGGGAACAACATCTCGTTCCGAATCCTACTCTGAAGACGACGATCGAGACAGCTTTGAATCTGGTGAACACGACGAGAGTTACTCTGACGACTACGAGGAAGACCTTGGCCCAGAAGACTCAGCTTCCGTCAGCCCTCAAAGATACCGCCCGCAACAAACTCGAGCTGCCTCTCGTCACCACGAACTCCCGCAGCACCCGCAGCAGCGCGAACAACTAGCATACCGCCCACCCGTCAATTACGTTGACCCGTATCGGCCCGGTTCAGTGCCGAATCCCCCAGAAAGCGTGGATCCCTCAGAGGAATACCACCCGGCCTATGGCCACCGCGGTGGCTACGGTGCCCGCGCACCTCCGGCCGCCCATGGCGGGCCGCAAGGTCATGTCGGCCATGCCGGTCACAATCCCTATTTCCCAAGCGGCCGTGGTCACAACGGGCACCCTCAGAGCGCCTATCAACAACATCAACATAGTCATGTAGGCTATATGGGTCAAAGCCCATACGGAGCTCCTCCCAATACCATGGTTCCTTACGGTTATGGCGGTCCCCCGGGCCACAATCCCTTCTCGCCAATGTCCAATGGAAGCGGTCAGAGCTATTTCGGAGAGCAGCCGCGCAACTCTCAATATGACATGATGCCCTACAATCAGCCACAACCCCCTGCATTCTACGGCCATGGACCCCCCGGTGGACCTGGAGGCTACCAAATGCCGCCGCACATGGCCCAATACCTGTACTCCCAGGCTGCTCCACCTCCTCCGCCTACGGAAGTTGGTCCGCCCAAGACTCCCGCGCCTGCCCCGCCGCCGTCGCCGCCGAAGCCAGACCCAGAGAAGATCAAGTTGCAGGAACAACTTGAGCTCTTCAAGGCAGAGCAGGCTCGTAAGGAGGAGGCCGAGCGCCGCCGTGAGCTTGAGGAGAAGATTCGGAAGGATGCCGAGGACGCCATCGCTCGGCGAATGGAGGAGATGAGAAAGGCTCAAGAAGACGCGCGAAAGGAAATTGAAAGGGCCAAGAAGGAGGCTGAACAAGCTGCCCGTGAGGCTATCGAGGCTGAGCGCAAAGCTGAGGAGCAGAGGCAGAAGCTGCACCAGGAAGCCATGGCCAGAGCTGAGCGTGAGGCAAGAGAAAAGTACGAGGCCGAGCTCAAGGCCCATGCCGAAGCAAAGGCCGCTGAAGCAAAGGCTCGCGCGGATGCTGAGGCAGCTGCCCAATTGAAGCTCGAGCTGGCCATCAAGGCTCAGGAAGATGCCAGAATTGCCGCCGAGAAGAAGGCTGCGGAAGATGCCGCAGCGAAGGCCAAGTATGAGGCAGAGATGAAGGCCACGGCTGAGAGAGAAGCCCGTGAGAAGATTGCGGCCGAGAAGAAGGCGGCAGAAGAAGCCGCGGCAGCCAAGGCCAAGTACGAGGCCGAAATGAAGGAGAAGGCCGAGAAGGAGGCCCGCGACAAGATTGCCGCCGAGAAGCAGGCTGCAGCGGATGCTGCCGCAGCTAAGGCCAAATACGAGGCGGATATGAAGGAGAAGGCTGAGAAGGAGGCTCGTGACAAGATTGAAGCCGAGAAGAAGGCTGCAGCGGACGCTGCCGAAGCTAAGGCCAAATACGAGGCGGATATGAAGGAGAAGGCCGAGAAGGAGGCTCGCGACAAGCTGGCGGCGGAGGCAAAGGCCGCGGCAGATGCCGAAGCTGCTGCCGCTGCGGCCAAGAAAGCCGAAGATGAGCTCAAGAAGAAGGCTGCCGAAGATGCTAAAGCCAAGTACGAGGCCGAGACCAAGAAGAAGGAAGGCAAGTTGCCGATCAAGTTCAAGGACGCCGTGGGCCGCAAGTTCAGCTTCCCATTCCACATCTGCGCCACCTGGACGGTAAGTCGAAAGCACCCAGCGATGTTTGTAATGATGCTAACAGGTTGTAGGGTATGGAAGAGCTCATCAAACAAGCTTTCCTCCACGTGGATGTCATCGGGCCCCATGTCCAGGAAGGACACTACGATCTCATCGGCCCCAATGGTGAGATCATCCTTCCCCAAGTGTGGGAGAGGGTTGTCGAACCCGACTGGACCATTGAGATGCGCATGTGGCCCATGGAGAAGGCGCAGCCAGCTCCACCCCCGGGCGTGTTCCCTCCAGGTATGAGACCACCACCAGGACAACACCAGAGGACTAGATCCATGGGGGGACCGGGAGGTCTGCCACCGGGTTTCCCGAGGCCCGGGGGTGGTGGCGGAGTTCCACCACCACCTCCGGGTTGGGCAGGTAACGGTCCGCCGCCGCCGCCGCCTGTTGGCGCCATGCCTCCCGGCCGTGGTCCGCGTGTCATCAATGTTGGCCCGGCACCTGAGAAGAAACGTCAGTCCAAGGGAGGGCAGGGATCCATGCTCAGCTGGATGGCCGGCGCCAAACCCGCAAAGAAGAAGTAAGCAATCTCAACCCGTTCTACGACCGCCAATTATCTAACAAACGAGTAGGAGTAGCAAGAAGACCTAATGGTCAGTGTTGTGCATTGCCAACCAGTGCTGTACAACACCTACCACGAGAACTATTTCTTACGAATTTGCGGTTGGGATCTTTCTGATTTACACATGATACCTCATCGCGCATTATTTTGCTTTTCACAGATTCCCACATAGTTGATTGTATGTATACAACGCATCTCACGGAATCATGGCTCATTTTCTTGACGTCTATAACGCATGTATGCCCGGAGTATGCGCTGCGGGGAGAGTGATTTTGAGAACGGGACCAAAGAGCCAAAGGTTGGAAAACGTTCCGCGAGGGTCGTACACAGAGAGGAGAGCCTTGCATCAGAGCTGGAGGAGACTGGACTGCGACATTTTCAGGACACGGCGCAAAACAAGGGAGGACCACACCGTGTTTTTGGGTTAGATGACTTTTTTGGTTGCGGTTAGATGCGTCGAGTTTTATGTTACAAAAAAAACACTCTGAAAAGAATCATCATAATTACGCATGCGCGTTCTATCGTCTATGGCCCTCTGATTTATGTTTAATTGCCGCCTGCTTATATCCTTGGTCTACCAAGCACACTCTTGACGCGCTTCTCGAACGCTTGAATCATTACTCCAGCCACCTTATCAGACACCGCAGCGCTCACAGCGGAGTACAACGGGTTCGCAAACTGGAATCTGATGACCAGGTCCACCTCCGTGCCAGTGCCCGTAGCCAGTGGCCGCAGCTGCCACATCGTCACCAAGCTCTTGAACACCGCACCGCCCTCTCCTCCATTGCCCGGGCTGGCACCCGGAACGTCTGCGCCGCTGATCGCCTCGACGCTTTTCCCGGGTACACAGTGCAGCCTACTCGTGAATGTCTCCTCGAAGCCGCCCCAGCCCACACGCAAGTCGGCCTGCGCGGGCCATTTGCGCCCGTTCTGGTCGGGGGCGGTCCATTGCGTGACACGGGACTGCGCGCAGTATGGCACGAAGGTCGAGTATGAGTCCACGTCGGAGATTACGCCGTAGAGCTGGGCGGAGGGGTATGGGAGGGTTCGGGAGGCCGTCAGGACCTGCGGCTCGGATGAGGGGAGATTCGGAAGGTTGAAGAACTGCCGCGCGGGGGTGTGGGGTTGTGCGGCGGGCATGCAGCGAATGCTTCTCAACGGAGAGAAGACTCGGAGAGCTGGCCGCATGGTTGTCATCGTGCGTGGGCAGTTCCGACGTATGGAGCTGGAAAAAGGTTGGGGAGTGTGGCCGAGGTTTTGCGCAATGGTGAAGGAGTGGAAGCTCGACTTTCAACGAGCCATGGTCTATAGTGCAAGCCGAGGAAGCGAAAGTGAAGTGCCGCACGAGGAAACTGCTGTCAATTGCCGTCCCACCGTAGACAGTCCTCAATCGGGGTCGTCGCAAAAGTTGTTCGTGAAGCAAGTCGCAATGACGATTAGAAGCTGTCGCCGAGGAAGAAGCTAGCAGTCGGTGTTAGTGGGCTGCTACCGCTGTACAGTGGGATTATTTTGTTTTACTGTACAGTGGAACACGGTACGAACGGCTAGCATCATTTTTGGTGGGGGTGAGCACCACGGCAGCACGACAGCAGCTCTCCACAAGCCAAGTTCAGCCACAGCAGCCCGCATCACCGTTCCCCGACTCCGACATCCCTTAGCTTGACGACCAGCCGAAACCCGTTCCCCAAGGCATTCTCCCCACGAATGTGCCAAAGCTGTGCGGCCACACAACGGGGGAAACCATTTCAAGATGCGCCATAGAACCCGGACGACCTGACCCGACTTTCGTTTACTCCTTTCCACGACGAACCTACCCACGAAATCCCTCCCCTCCCTCGACCTAACCTACGACCAACCTGTTTAAGCCCCGTCGCGTGGGGCTGTCATCGTCAAGATGTAGGTGTTGAGAGCAAGCGGCACGACACGGTGGTGCAGCACGCTGACAGCGATGGGATGCCCACAGGTTCGAGAAGTCTCTTTACGACCTCATCAGAGGCCTGCGAAACCACAAGGGCAACGAGCGCGAGTATATCCAGAACAGCTTGAAAGAATGCCGCTCCGAGGTGCGCGGGCAGGACATGGGTGAGCCAGCCCCCGGCGCCTCCATCTTCGTCTGCGTATCGATGGCTAATAGTCCCCGACAGACGTCAAGGCGACGGCGCTGCTGAAGCTGGTCTACCTCGAGATGGTTGGCCATGACATGTCCTGGGCTTCGTTCCATGTCCTCGAAGTCATGTCGTCGCAAAAGTACCACCAGAAGAGGGTTGGATACCTGGCTGCTGTGCAGAGTTTCCGGTCAGACACAGAAGTGTTGATGATGGCCACGAATCTCTTGAAGAAGGTACGTCACTGCGCTGCGGGTGTATGGCGAGAGGGCGGTATGCTAACGCTACTTCTGCGTAGGACTTGACCTCGACGCAAGCGACGACAATATCCCTCCCGATATCTACACTACCACATATCATCAACCCGTCCCTAGCCCTCTCGACCCTCCCCGACCTGCTTCCCCGTTTGAGCCACTCGAACCCCGCCATCCGCAAGAAGACGATCGTGACGCTGTACCGTCTGGCGCTAGTGTACCCCGAAACGCTGCGCGCGGCCTGGCCCAAGATCAAGGAGCGTCTTATGGACAAGGACGAGGACCCGAGTGTGACTGCAGCTATTGTGAATGTCGTCTGTGAGCTGGGATGGAGACGGCCTCATGACTTTCTTCCTCTGGCGCCCAGGCTGTTCGAGCTGTTGGTTGATGGTGGTAATAACTGGATGGCCATCAAGCTGATCAAGCTGGTAGGTGATGCTTTGAGTAGCACGCAAAGGCGGAAAGGCTGACGAGCAATACAGTTCGCGACTTTGACGCCACTAGAGCCGAGACTCGTGCGGAAACTGCTGCCGCCTCTCACTGAGCTAATTCGGACGACACCCGCCATGTCACTACTATATGAGTGCATCAACGGTATTATTCAGGGTGGCATCCTGGGTAGTGAGGATGACATCTCAGGCCAGGAGGAGATTGCGACTCTTTGCGTGAACAAGCTCAGGGGCATGATCATGGTGGATGGCGACCCGAATCGTAAGTCACGCGACTCGGTCCGTGATCTGGAGCTAACTTTCAATAGTCAAATACGTTGCGTTGCTCGCGTTCAACAAGATCGTTTTGACACATCCTTTTCTGGTCGCGCAACAGGAAGATGTCATCTTGGAGTGCATCGACAGCCCCGATATCACTATTCGCATCAAGGCTTTGGACCTCGTTCAGGGTATGGTTAGCAGCGACAACTTGGTATCGATCGTAAGCCGTCTTATGAAGCAGCTCAAATCTTCTGCTCCTAAAAGAGATCGGCCGGGGGCCCCCCTTGGTCCTGATACCGGGACGGATTCTGACGACGAAGCGCAAGTCGAAATCCACACTCCAAACAAAGAGGAGGAGGAGCCTCCACTACCTGATGACTACAGGAGCGATGTGATCGGAAGGATTCTGACCATGTGTTCACAAAACAACTATAGCAGCCTGGTGGACTTTGACTGGTACATTGATGTTCTCATTCAGCTTGTCCGCATGGCGCCGACGCCACGGTCAGTCGAGACGGAGCTCGACTCAGTAGCAGCCTCCGGCAAGTCGACAGCCGGAGATGTATCCGGCATGATTGGAGACGAGTTGAGGAATGTTGCTGTGAAGGTGCAAGCCCTGCGAGGGGCTTCAGTCAGGGCCGCTGATCTGATTATTCAACAACTCAACTCGGATACCCCCGCTGGGCACTCCCTCTCTTCGGCATCACTCAAGTCAACTACGTGGTTGGTTGGAGAATATGCCAATCAGCTCGCTTTCCCTGAAGACACTTTGGGAAACATACTGCGGATTATCCCCCGAACACATATCCCAGACATTCTTACGACGAGCCTGCAGGCCGTGACCAAGATCTTTGCGTACGTCGCCGGCAACGATGGGCAGCCTTGGACACCGGAGTGGAAAACCAAAATTACCCTGCTTATGGCGCGGGTAATTCACACGTTAGAGCCGCTCGCCCTCCACCCAAACCTAGAGGTTCAGGAGAGGTCGGTGGAGTTCATCGAGCTTCTGAAGCTCACTGCCGAGGCTGCGTCAGGGCAAGCGCCATCATCTGAGGACACTCACCAAGATGCTCCCCTTCTCCTCACACAAGCCATCCCATCTTTGTTCCAGGGATGGGAACTTAACTCTGTTGCTGTTGGCGCCCAGAAGAACGTGCCAATACCCGACGGTCTCGACTTGGACGAGCCCATCCACCCCAACCTGAGTTATCTTCTTTCGCAAGCGGACATCATACCTATGGAGGCGAGCGAAGCGGACGACTTCGAGGTTTACTACCACCAGCGTCCTGCTCCAACCAGCATATCTTCCGCAGAGCCCGCTATCAACAAGATTGCAGACGTACCAGAAGAAGTCGTCAGCTCGTATCAACAAGCGACTGAGGACAGCTATCTGGACGCAGACATCGTTGCAAGGCGGAAGGCCGAGCGAGCAGAACGCAATCGTGACGATCCATTCTACATTGGCGGAGCAGACAGCAACCCCAGATCGTCAACACCCATTCACAGCATCTTACAAAAGGAGAATGGCCCGGATCTTGACATAGACTCCATACCGATAATGCAGTTGGACCTCGACAAGCTAGGCTCATCTGCTCCAGGTCCAACATCACCCATCAGTCGACCGCAGCCGCGACCGAGGCAGCGCGTTGTCATCGCCGCGGACGAGACGCTGGTAGGGAGCGGCGTCTCCACTCCGCGCAACTACGAGTCCGAGAACAACTCCGACAGCTTCACCAAGTCGCGCGCCAAAAAGCTACGACAGGGTCTGTTGCAAGTCGACTCGTCGACCCTGGGTAGCCTCAGCCTCGAAGAGAGTGGCGGCTCGGGTGGCATGGGTTCCTCCAATGCGCCGTTCGATTACGAACAACAGCAGCGCGAGGAGGCGGAGATGGCGCAGGCGATGAAGGAGGTCGAGAGGCTGCGTCTCGAGATGCAGCGCGCCAACGAGCGGATCCAGGTCGCGCAGGGGGTCGATGCCGCCGGCGTGGTTGTCAAGAAGAAGACGAAGAAGGCCAAGAAGGATGGCGACGGCACGACGGTGGTGAAGAAGAAGAAGAAGAAGGCTCCGGCCGTCGTGCTCACTGACGACGCCGAGAACGGGGCCGGCGAGGAGCCCGCTCCCATCCTTGCTGCCCCGACATTGGCGGCTCTCGAAGGCGGAGACGACGCTGGGCCGGCGGTCGTGGTGCCCAAGAAGAAGAAGAAAAAGAAGACGACCAAGATGGCTGAGATTGCGGGGGACACGCCTAGCCCGAGTTGATGTAGTCAGTGGTGGTAGCGGTGGTTTGCACTCATGACAACGAATGGCGCAGGAAAGGTAGCATATAGATAAAACAAAATGCGAAGGCGCGGTGTAGCCATTCATTCCTTTTCTCTGGCACTTGTGAGGCCATACAAAACAAATTGTGTTCTTGAGGTCGTCACGAGAAGACACAAGAAGGTTCGTTAGTATCAATCACCGTGGGCACGACACGACGAAGCTACTGGACTGAGCTTTGACCGAGGTGCTTTTCATGATTTTTCCCCTGACGTACTGTGAAAACCCCTAGATGGGCTCGAAACTTCCTCAACATCAGTCACCATCAACAAAGTTAACAGGCAGGATCTTTGAAATGGTTTTTTTGGGGGAATCTGTCTCTCTCTCTCTCCCTCTCTCTTCTTCATCTCATCTCCAACTCCAACTCCAACACCATCTCTCGTCCCCTCCCTCCTCTCTCCCGCTCTCTCGTGGTTTACGTACAGACATGATACAAAGGGGACAATGAGGAATCGCTTCCCGACGTCACACCGTCGTTGAGTCACCGCCAGCCAGCCAGTAAATTGTTTCTTCTTTTTGTGTTTCCTGTACCAGCCGCCGCCGCCGCCGCCGTTGTCGCCCGCGCAAGAAAAACCCTCTTCCGGCGTCACACATGACAAAAAATTGGGTTGGTTTTTTGTGAAGAAAATAGACATTAAGAAAGGAAGAAAAAGGAAAACCATCAGCTTTGCCGAGAAAATATCAGTCGTCGAAGAACCGAACGATCGCTTCTTAGTCATCCATGGGCTTGTCCTCGAGTGTCACCCCGCGAGGAGTCGAAGGAGCGCTGTCGTTTCCGCTCGATGCTACGGGCACCCGGCGCTCGAGAGAGTATCGCGCGGTGCTGCGGCCGAGGCTGTTGCGCTTCTCTACCGGCGACTCGAGGGCCTGGATTCTCGCGGCAACACCCTCAGCAGCCGGCGCCGGGTTCGCCGTGCCGTTGGCCGGCTCGGCAGGCGAGCTGTTATCGCTGCCAGGAACCTCCAGACTCGAACGCTTGGCGCCAATCACGCTGCCAAGACTGGAGCGGTGGCGGTCAACGGCACTTGCGGGAGGACTCGTCTGGATCGGGAAGCGGGTCTCGGGGCCGCCTACGCTACGGTCACGTCTGTGACCACGCGGGCTCGGGGCGGGGCTGGTCGCGCGGCCGCGGCTACCGGCAGCCTTCTCGAGCAGAGCTCTATTCCGCTCTTCCATGTTTGCTCTCCGGTTGCTTTCGTCGGTGCTGATGGCACGGGGACGGTTGTTGACCGATCCACTGTGGTTCAGAGTAGACATGCGCTTGAGCTCGCTGAAGATGGCGTCCTTGTGAGCAAAGAGATCCCGGATGAGACGGTACGCGTGCTTCTCCTCCATTGTGAGGGAAGTTTCGGTGCGAGGACGGAGGATGCAGGGTGCTAGGGCAGTGGCAAGGGTGGAGATGTAAGCCTCATCGGCCGAGGTAAGATCGATTAGGCGGGTAAAGTGGTTCATGCAGGCGTCAAGCGTTGCGATATTAGTTAGTCTCAGCTGCGACAAGGTCTGTTGGAGAACAGGCACGCGAGCAGCATCATTATCCTGCGTCTGAGTCTGGTAAATCGTCCGGATGATTTCGTACACGTGAGAGGAGACCAGAGAATCTGTGGGAAGTCAGCAAATGTTCGTTGGCCGAAATCGTCCACCGTCAACTTACCAGGCAGTTCGAGGAGGTAGAGCTTGAGCAGGCTTGCGACAGTTGGGATGTCGAATTCGTCGAAAACGTCGGCTGGGATGGGCTTGCCGTCGTTGATCTTGGCACGCAGCTTGTGAATCTGGTTTAGAGGCACATCTACCAGCCAAACTCCACGTCGAGCCTCATCGCCCTCCAGATCAGGATAGTGGTTGTCAAGGTAGGTCAGGATGGTAGTAATGATGACAGGCACACGCTTCTTATCCGCGCGTGCTCTCGCCTCAAGATCCACACCGAAGGTTTGCTCGTCCACCTTGTTGTAGTAGTTTTCGTAGACGACCACCTTGGGGATGAAGCTACCAGTGCGGTAGTTCTCGAGCAGATACCTCAAATCGCCGCTGGGCTGCACTGTCTCCTGGAAAAGCATCATGTTGTCTACAGCCGATTGAAGGCTGGGAATGACGTTGCTGATGGTGCCGGAGAAATCCAGAATGACAGTCTTGATGGCCTTAAGGCGGTCCAGCTCGCAGCGCTCCAAGAAGCGGAGGTGGAGGAAGATGGTCTCCTCAAGGTCGCAGCGCATCTCGTCCAACTTGCGCACACCACCCTTGTACTTGTCGTCGGCTTCTCTGGCCTCACGGCGCAATCGCTCGGCGGGGGTCTCGTTGGGATGGGCATTGTTGAGGACGTTCCAGTTGGCAAGGTACTCGCTGACGGTTCCGACAACGGGCGAGTCCGAAGACTCGGAAGCGGGAAGAGAAAAGGTACGTCCAAGGGGCAACTTCTTCTCGGGGACACCAGCAGCCTTGAAAGCCTTGGGGCGCCACTGATAGAACATCTTGGAGCTGTTTGCGAAAGTGCTTCCGACGTTACCAATGAGCCTCAAGAATCCGGCTGTGATGAGGTCCTGTCCAATCCTCTCGGCGTAGCTGACGCTGCTGGTGTTCAAGTGCTTCTGCAAGTACTCCACAATGTCTGCACCAGACGAAGTGTTTTGGTACACGCCAAGGATGGGCACTTTGGTCTCGCCGAGCTTGATGGTGTTCAGCATGTGCTCCAACATCTTCTTGACTTGGTCGGCGTTGTAGAACTCGTCGCCAATCTCGACCATCTCCTCCTCATCGTCGACCTCGTGCTTCTCCTCCACCTTCTCGGGCTCCTTGTTCTCAGAGACCTTGATCTCGGGGATGTTGTTCTTTGGGCTGGTTTCGGGGTCCTGGAATGCCAGCTTGGTCTCCTCCTCGATATCCTCAACCAAGCGGCACTTGTTGAAGTAGGTGCTCCTCAGCTTCTTGACGAGCTCTGCTTGCCTGTCGTGCGCCTTGATGCGAGCTTGCAGCTCATCCTGGGAGTCTTGAATGCGGGATTCGTGGGCATCGCACCAGCGGGAGAAGGGGTTGACGACGAGGTCTCGAATGTTCTGGGCGATCTTCTTGTGGTTTTTGGCACCCTCTTCCATCTCGGTCCGAACGCCATCGTAGGCCTGCGAAATAAGTCAATGGAGGGTCTCAGAAAAGGTCCCGGTGGGGCACCAAACAAACCTTGCGAACGCTGGCACCGTCATCTCTCGAGAATCCGCCTTGTACTTTGTCGGCAGCTGGCGCGATGTCTCCCAATCGCTGGCTGTAGATCTCTTCGGCCTCGGCGCGCAATCGGGCGACGGTAAGGATTTGACGGTTCTCGTGCACTCCCTGCTGAAGCTTGCTGAACAGGACGCCCAGTCCTGGCGCAAAGGTTTAGCATTTTGGGAAGTCGGAGAGGGAGCAGCGCGGGTAGCGCGTGGTGGTGGTGACTTACCTGCAGCGTAGTCGCTAGACCAAAAGGACTCTGCGAAGCCCGGCATGGTGATTGGGAGCTCGAGTCGTTCGTTGCAATAACAATAGGGTTGTGTTGTTGCGATCAAAGAAATGGAATCGTGCGGGAAAATGGAAAAGGAGGCAGCGAGAAATGTTTCGTTTCGTCGTTACTGCGTAATGCAGGTTGCAGGAGGTGGGAGGCGAGGTGGTTCCCTGCTTGTCTCTCGGTACTAGAGTTTAGAGACGCTTTGCCGGATGCGAGAAGCGAAAGAATACGTCAACGGCGATCGGCCGCGGTGCAGAACGAAAGGCGATAGAGGACACACAAGGCAAAGAAAAGTGAGAGGAAGGACGGGATGCTCAGTAAGGCAGAAGACAGAGAGCGAGAAGGCGCCGTTGCGAAAGAGGTCGTGGAGGGCGTTTCTGGTGGTCAGGGGCACATGCCAGCTGGAGGAAATTTTGGAGGAAGAGAAAAAGGCTGGCTGCTGACAGGTCCAAGGTTCAAGGTTGAAGGATTGGGGCAGAAATGGAAAGACGGCAAGTTCGACTGGACCTGGAGGAAGAAGGAGACGGGATAAGGAAGATACTGCTGCTCTGCTGCAGGTGTGGTGTGCGTTCCCGGTGTGCGTCCCTCGGTCTCCGCAGAAGGGAATGGCAATGGAAACAGCTTGCTTGGATTGCTGCCAGGTTGTCAGTCAGTGAAGCTCCAAACCACGCTCAGCGACAAGAGATGGGACCAGTGACACGGCATCAAAGCCAGCAAGCACACACGGCAGGGCTGGGCTGGGCTGGCTGTCAATGCCAACCGAACCCAACAATCCGCACAGGCCATGGCCCAGGTTCGACAGGGCCAGCAGGGCAAAGCAGGGAACACGATGGGCGAACACCAACACAGAGATGAGGGGCAACGCCAATCCAATGTCTGTGGTGCGGTGCCTGCGTGGCTGCCCTGGAAGGAGAAAAAAGACAGCCGTTCCCATTACCAAGGGCCAGCAGCTGGCGGGCTGCAGACGTGGCCTTGGATTGGCTCCATCGCCAGCCCGACGAACGCTGCTGGCGACTCGGGCCATCTGAAGCCAAAAATACACAGCCATCCCACGGTGTCGGTCCGCCAGCCACTCACAGCGTTCCCCGTGTGCTCCACTCCTTCATCATCCTCACAGTGTTCCTCATCTGACTGGTAGACATCCACCCACAGGCGACCCTGACCCCCCCCACGCGGTGCCTGTGAGCCTCTGAGGCGTTGCCCGTGTGCTCCACACAAAGCAAATGACCCTGAATGAGGCAGCCAAGCAAGCCGACTTTGACCTGAGGGCTGTCTGCCACCTCCACTGTGGCCTGTGGGAATGAGAACCTACGACCTCGATAACGGCACTAACCCGACAGCTCTGGGCTGTGTGAGCCCCTGCATTCGTCTCTGTTGCAGAATTCTGGGGCCGCTCCCAGCTGAAGAGATTCAGGCGAGGAGCCCACACTCACAGGGCAACGCACCTTGGTGGAAGCCGCAGGGCTCAACCACTTGCTGGTTTTCCCGGGCGGCCATGGAAGACGGGAAGCTAAGGTTCAACGCTCGTGGTTCCTACAGGGCTGACCGCCATACCATCTACCGCCGCCAATTTGACGCAGTATTAAGGATCATTTTCACAAATCATGCACCCCAGGATCAGGTTTCATCCTCCCTCGCTGATCGCATCGTTTCTCGATTGAGGCAAGGCGTCCTTTGGTCCTCGTCCTGACTGCTTTGTCCTTTGTTCCTTTTGGTGGTGAGACCTGTACCCGTACCCGTACGAGCCTCCCCGACCTGCTGCTGATCTGCGTTTCCTTGATCAGCGAGCGCCTTTTGTTACCCCTGAGCCTTCGTCACAGCCCGATCAGTTCCCCAGACGACCAAGACCGTTATTAATAGCTATATTAACCTGGTCCGCCATGGAGAAATCAGAATTGGCTCCATCTCGGTCCGTATTTCTCCCCTCTATCCACCTCGGGCTTCCATCACACGAGAACCACGTCCACAGCCCAGGTGCCGCCCGGGGTAGGTCGGGCGCAAGAGCCATCCATCATCCGAAGTCACCATGGATGTCGGAGGTGTCCCGTCGACGTGGTCCGTTCCCGAAATGCTAATTCAGCGGTCGGCACGGAGTGTCTGTGTCTGTCGGTCAAGCTCAGCTTTCGGATCAGGGTACGCACGCTTTATTCCCGTCCCTGTGCTCACAAGGGACGTGCTTTTGCTCTGAAATGGGACGATATCCGTAATCAATGCATCGACGACATGCAGTTGATCTCAATTCCTCGTCATATCACTCTTTATGCGCCTATGCCTCCAACGCATATTTCAGGAACCATTGCTCTTCTCAAGTGAGATGCACCGCATTCGAACATTGGTTAAAGCTATCGGAATACGGTATGTCCCTGTGTCATGCTAAATTGTCGACTCTGAAGACCTCTGAATACCATCAACGAGTAAGACAGGGTCCTTGGCATCGCACCTTTTGAATTCGAATACTCGGAGACGTCTCGCCTTCCACTCACAGATAGATCCGGCGATGTGTCATCCACACGCTTATAATCGATCTATGTCACAAGAGGTCTTGGGTTGTCTATGGCTCTTCTCGTGACATCATGCCCTTTTCTCCCGATCACTGTCGTCCACACACATTCGTTATGGTTTTCTTCGATGTTGCTATGAAGGTGTTCAATTCCAGCTCAAAGGGTGTCGCGGGAAATGCATCCTACATGTCGACAAAAACGTCCACGGATACTCCCGTGCTCGGTTTGGATTAGCACACCCTGCTTCGCACAGATTTGGTCGGGATATCGCAACTTGGGCCAAAGGTCTATTGCCTAGTGGTTCGTCGCACTGACAAATACTGCAGATTCGTTGACACGCACACCACCATCCAAGATGGAGACCACACCGATACACATTAGCAAGAGTCTCGTGTCTACAGCTTGTTGTGTGACATGAACAGAATACGTAACGAGAGCAATTGTAACGATCCGGGTTTGGTGAAGGTAACAGGAAAGAGAGCACAACATATTCATCTTACAATCACGGTAATAGTGTCGTACTACAGATCTATCCGTTGGTTCCTCGACAGAAGCGGATAAGAACCGAATATACTACGCAGTACAGCAAGATCGAGCAACACATATGTCAACTCAGAGGTCCACCTAGCGCAAGACTCGAAGCAGCTTGACGGCTGCTTTTCTCCTGGCAATTCGGTGGCGGGGTTTTCCCAACACTTAGCTGCGCATGAAATATTGGGAGATCTCAGAGGCTCAGAGGTCAGATGTGTAGCTCTTACAGCAACCGAGCAGCTTCTCACGCTCTCATATCAAGGTGACTGCTGGTTTCCAATCCGGATCTTATGTCTTATGCAGTTGATCACTCACCAGCCGGCCCGAATAGTCGCGATCTTACCCAAATCAGTCTTGCTCGTAAACCAATACCTTTCACGGCAAGTTGCGGCCTTGATATGGGCAAGGCAAGACATCGCTGTTAGTAGCAGGTGCACACCAGCACCTCCATTGACCGCTACAGCCCAGATTCCCCGACGGCGGGACAAGCCGGGCGGAAGAAGCAAGACCTGCAGCTCGAGAGACACGGCTCATCTGATTTCCTGCCAGGGCCCGGCCCGAGATCGTACTGACGCGGGACGTCAACAGCATGATGCCAAGTTACGAGATACCCGCTGTCAGAGTGCAACGTCCGCCGATCGATGCTTTTCGACTACAGTCTTGGAACCCGATAGCCGGCTTGGCCTGTTGTTAGATTGCTTCCGCACCGTCTGTCTAGTCATAGATCTGTTTACCCGAGGACGTAGTTTGAGTTCTCGAGTGGAAGATCGAAGCATGTCTTGCCCGTTACGTGCGGGGCAATATGCAGACCTTGCTTTCCGAGCTTGAATTCGCTCACCTCTTCCTCTTAAGGAAGTCGCAACTGGCAGCTGCCTCCTTCCCTCTCGACCAGTCAGCCCCGCTCCTTCTACCAGGAACCAAGGTCAGGTACTTGGGCAGCTTTCGTCTCATGTTCTTTCAACAGTTCGACTGGGTCACTTGGTCCAGTTGGTAAAAGCAAAAGCTCAAACAAATTCTTCTCTAGAGATGCAATCTGAGTCTGAGAGGGGCGCTCGTTCGAAACACGTGAGGGCCATGAAAAGGGTGATTCCTTTTTTGGTCTCTCTCTCTCTCTTTACCCTCTGTCATTCACGAACCTTCCTGTCTTTCGAAATATCTCGCAAGAAACAAGGTAGGGGGCGACAGATGGAGGAGTTCACCATAAAAACAATTAAAGCGGCTAGACCTGCATTAGACCCCGTGTCTCAATGGGCATGTCTTAGACATGAGCCGACGCCCTGTCACGCTTTTTACTCACCGCTTTAGGCCATTTTATTCTGACTTCTCAGCCCGCCACATGGAGCTCGGCGGGACTCAAACCCTAGGGAAGGCCGCATCTCAACATGCAAACGGTGCCTTAGTCTCAATGACCCGGCGGAAACCACGGCTGGCGCGCTTGACTTGTGCATTACCACCGATAATACAGACTGGAGACCCAGATGAACACGCGGGGTATCATGCTTGCGACTTCAAGTCTGTCTCAGTTGAGACCCGCAGCCGGAGGTTGGCGATGCATCAAATTATCAGAGTACAGCAGACGGGAAGAATGCGGGAAAGCGGAAACGTCGGTTAATGCTGTGCTGGCTAATCTGTCAATCGGGAAGCTGTGTTTTGGTTTCACGGACGACGCTTTCTTATGAAAATTCTCGAGAACATTTTCCCAGGCCGGAGGGACTATAAGTTGAAGGGACGGCCCTGACCTCGAAATCATGACAGCCTTCCTAAGTCGCCAAACTCCCTTCGACTACCTCGAGCGCCGGCCGCACAATGTATTTCTCCAGTCTCCTAGCTGGTTTGGCTTTTGCCTCCCCGTCATTAGGTTATGCAATCCCTTTAGCTAAACCAGCCCTTGCCTCGCGGCAATGGGTCTATGAGATTCCGTCCAAGGACAGCATCGTCATCAAGCAACACGAGGCAGCGCGTGCAGCTCTGATGCAACTGGAGGATACAGAGAGACAAGGTCACACCTCTGGTCGAAAACTAATTCGGAGTTATCGCTGACTGGTAGTGTAGATGCTCAATTCAGGAAAAGCCTTTCTGAGGTTTGTGGGAAAGCAGACAACATCACCAGAGCCATCCGACTGAACGAAACCAACACAATCTGGCGTGAAAATGGTGGCTACGCTGGTGAAATGTTTTCCAAGGCCCGTGAGACAATCCTCCAAACGAAACTCTGGAAGATCGTCGATGGCATGCCCAAGGGCGCGTTGTTGCACGCCCACCTGACTGCCATGCTCCCTTACGATGCCTTGCTAGATGTGGTCATGGAGACAGAAAACATGGGATTCTGGGCATCGCAAAGTCTCAACAGCCCGGAGGCTCGCAATAAATCCAAGTTTGAGTTCTCCTACCGTGGTAAGGATTTCAAGAGCGCTGCCAACCCTGCCAGCGTTTACGCGGCGGAATACCAACCCTACAACACATCCACCAACGAGAAAATTTACATGGACGTCAAGGCTGCAGCCGACCAATACCCAGACGGTGGTTCCAAGGAATTCCGCAAGTTTGTCAAGAGCAAGATGGTGGTCCTGCCAGAGGAGGCCACGCACCACGAGCTCGGCGTTGACGACATCTGGAAGAAGTTCCAATCCGCCTTCGAACCTGCGGGTACAATGCTGACTTACGAGCCCATCGTGCGCAGGTTCTGGCAGCTTCTGTTCAACAAGCTCGCTGAGAACAGAATCAGTTGGGTTGAGATACGCGCTGGAGGTTCCCGCGGAAAGCTTGTGCCCCAGAACCAGGTGAATGCTACGAATGATCCAAGTGTGTGGTGGACGGTCATGAACGACGAGCTTCAGAATTTCACCAGCACTCGAGCCGAAAACTCGACGCATCCCTTCCATGGAGCCCGTGTCATCTGGTCCGACTCGCGAAGCAAGACACAATCTAAGCTGAAAGAGAGTGAGTGAATCGTTCAACCATGTTTCCAGTTGTCGAGATTTCAAAGACTGACTCCTGAGTCGCAGGCATGACCGATCTGTTTGCCATGAAAAAGGAGTTCCCTCTCCTGTTCAGCGGATACGACGTCGTTGCTCAAGAGGATCTGGGCCGCACCTTGTTGGACATGGCCCCGGAGCTACTTTGGTTCCAAGAAGAGGCCAGGAGACATGATGTCACACTGCCGTTCTTCTTCCACGCAGGCGAAACCCTCGGAGATGGAAATTCGACTGACGATAATCTGTTTGATGCCCTCCTTCTGGGTACACGGAGAATTGGCCACGGGTTCTCATTGTATAAACATCCTATGCTGATTGATCAAGCCGTCAAGAAGAACGTCATGGTCGAGGTGTGCCCCATCTCGAACGAGGTCCTTCGGCTGGCGACGGATATTCTCCACCATCCTCTCCCGGCCATGATTGCGCATGGCGTCCCCACGGCCATCAGCAATGATGATCCAGCGATGCTGGGCCAAGACTCAGCCGGCCTGAGTTTTGATTTCTACCAAGTCATACAGGGTTTTGACAATGTTGGACTCGCTGGACTGGTATGAAGCTCCTCCCACCCTCTTTGTGTATGTCGACAAGCCATTCTGACACGCCATAACAGGGCGCACTGGCGCAGAACAGTCTCCGATGGTCCAACTTCGAGGACCAGAATGACAAGGATTGGGAGCTGGGTATTACACTTGGTTCAGATGCACCAAGTGTGAAGGGCGCTCGCATTCGCGAGTGGAATGCGCAGTGGAATAATTACTGCCAGCAGATCGTGGATGAGTACGGGGCGGAATGGGGTTCATGAGATGGATTGATCGCTTCGATTTTGAGTGGCCAGTATTCTACCAGGCCTTCTGTTTCTGTCTTCTTGTACAAGGGCTGCTGGTGCACCTACTGTTCCTATGATGGTCTATAATTAAAGTTATTGAGATACACAACGGCACTTGTCTGTGTGTCTGTCTACTAATTTACTGGCCTGTTGCTGTTCACCCGTTTCCTTGCTCTCTCTACTGCTGTTCTCCCTAGTCTTCCCGCGCCTATCCCGGGTGTTTATCACTTAGGGTGTAAAGCAGAGGACAAGAAGGCTAGATAGCAGGCACATCACGCGACAGGTAAGAGAATTATCCGAAAAAACTAAGCAGAAAGCAAGCCGGAGGCAGCAGAGACATGCGATATTTGACTTACAGATGTCTCAGCTGTGCCTTTTGGTTGGGTGAACAGAATTCGCGCATTGTGATTGGTCACACTCCACTAGTACCACGACTTGGTCGCACAATCTGGTTGACTTCAACACTGAGTCTTGATATCCATGATGACAATGATCGAATGTCTATCATCAGAATCAAGCAACTGCTGTAATAGTTCCAGGGTTCAAGCTCCAAATTTGCAGGGGTGTTTCAAGGGCCGATGAACCATGGCTATCGCTACTGTGGCTGAGCTCGCACCTCAGATAACGCAATCGCTCTGGGAGCTAGGACCCCGGCCCAGCTCCCTCTTGCGTGATTAGGAATCATCGACCAAGCATCGACTCAAGCTGGGTCTGCGCAACAAACGCAGCATCTTGGTCTCTTCTGCGAACCTTGGCGATCCAAAGTGCCTCCTGACAGGATTGGCGGAATAGTTGGACTTCCATATCTGACTAAGATAAAACGGCTCGTTTCTTATCTATCGGGACAAAGCAAAGCAACCGCTGATTACGAACTCTCATCGAGGGCACTTCAAACCATACAATACAGCGAGATCTTGGGGCTCAACTGAATACCTTTCTCACGTTTCGATTCAATCATGGATGAGAAGCATCGTGTCTTCGATGAGGAGGCCCCCCGGCCAGCCCGCCGAGGCCCCTCCCCCGCGAAGAAGCTCGCTGTGAGCGGAGTCTTGCTGCTCCTCGTTTCTTACATGCTTCTAGGCCAAAAGATGAAGTCGTGTGGCCATCAATCTAGGAAGCCTTGGGGACCGCCTCTTACGGTTGAGGAGAGGGCTCAAAATATCCTCAACCACAACCCACTGATTGGTAAGCGGACAGGTCGTCCGGTGTCATTGAGTGCCTATTGACGTTGGACTTAGATGGACACAATGATCTTCCCATTCTTGTGCGAGCAGTGTATGGCAACCATATTTACGACAAGAAGTTCACCGAGCCCTTTGAGAACGGCGGCATGGTTGCACATGTGGATCTTCCTAGACTTCGTAAGGGCCAGAACGGCGGTGCCTTCTGGAGCGTGTACACTCCCTGCCCGGCCAACGGCAGTGACTTCTCTGACGGAAATTACGCCGAGAGTAAGTCTCCCAACTGTGGTTCATTCAAATGTGCTTCGAAGCGGTCTCTAACGCGTCATCATAGGCGTCCAATGGACTCTTGACCAAATTGACGTGATGACCCGTATCAAGGAAGCCTACCCCAAGGACTTCTCACCTAACCTTGACAGCGACGAGGCATTGGCGGCTTTCGCAAAGGGCCAGCTGATCTCTCCTCTTGGCGTTGAGGGTCTTCATCAGATTGGAAACCGCGTTACTAACCTTCGCCGATACCACGCTTTGGGCGTCCGCTACTCAACCCTCACGCACAACTGTCACAACAAGTTTGCCGACGCCGCGCTTCTCGAGAGTCCCTTCCGCAAGGCAGAGCCCCTCTGGAACGGTCTCAGCCCCCTGGGTCGCCAGGTCATTCACGAGATGAACCGCATTGGTCTCCTTGTTGATCTCTCGCACACCAGGTACGTGCCTTCACATGACAAGCTGAGGTCTGGCTAACCTTATTATGAACCAGTGAGGATACCCAGCGCGACGTTCTTGGTGGCAAGGGATGGGAGGGCAGCAAGGCTCCCATCATGTACTCTCACAGCTCCGCCTTCAGCGTCTGCCCTCACCCGCGCAACGTCAAGGATGACGTGCTCAAGCTGGTCAAGGAGAACAACGGAATCGTGATGGTCAACTTTGCTCCCGACTTCATCTCCTGCGTCGACACTGGGAGGAAGAACGGTGTTCCTGAGTTGTATCCCGCCAACGTGACGCTGCATCAGGTTGTGAGACATGTTCTTCACATTGGCAACCTCATCGGCTTCGACCACGTTGGATTCGGGTCTGATTTTGACGGCATTGGTTCCGTCCCCAAGGGCTTGGAGGACGTTTCCAAATATCCCGACCTTGTTGCCGCGCTCCTCCAGGAGGGGCTCAGCGACGAAGACGCGGCCAAGGTTGTTGGCGGCAATATCCTTCGCGTCTGGAAGGACGCTGAAGTTGTCGCCGCTAAGCTCCAGCAGGAGGGCGCACCCGTTCTGGAGGATGACCTGCCGAAGCTGGAGTTCGAGTAAACACCGAATCCGAGCTTGCATATGTGTATAATAGCTTTCGCCGTCTCAGACAGCATGGACGTCCCCGTGCCGTAGTACAAGTGGTATAGTTGATCATATTCATACAATTCCGGGCGCGGTTGCGCTCTCGCGTCTATCTTGTACACCCGATGGTCTCATGTGTCGGCGGCCCATCTCGTAAACTCCAAACCATTTTTGCCATCAAAATCCCCGTCTCGTGCCTGCCCTCAAGGTCTCTTAAAAGGATCTCTTAGCGCGGTTCAGCTTCTTCGCCGTCTCGATCTGGGTTCTTGTGCGCTGTCCTCTCGTGGGCAGACCCATAGCGTGTCGTCTTCCGCGGTAGGAACCCATGTCCTTTAGTCTTCCAATGTTTTCCCTAATAATCTTGCGCGCGTCGGTTTCTATCGTCATCGTTGACAGTTCTGCCGTAAGGGCCGTGACTGTTCTGGGGGCGAGGGAGCCGACTTTTGCGAGCGGGTGGATCGAGTACTTGGCGAGAATGCGTTCTGATGTGCTCGGTCCGAGAGCGTAGAAGGACTGAAGAGCTTTCTGCAGAGGCGAAGCGCATCAGCATTGTCGCAGCATGGGTGTGGTTTGCATCGGCCGAAGAAGAGGCCTTACCTTGACGAGCTTCTGCTCAGAAAAGTTGACACCCAGAATGAAAACCTGCAGACCAAGTTAGTGATAAGCTAATTGAGAGCGTCAAAAAGCGCATGTCATACCATTTTGCCGGTTTGTCGCTGTGGATTTCAAGAACTGCTGCTGCACCGTCAAAATTGCCTCTTTGGACTGGCGACCGAATCACGAACTTTCGAAATCATCAACGCTGCACGGAGAGTCGGCGCCGGAAGATAGTGGATCCCAAGCGCGGTGGCCTTCAGCGGGCAGTGTGGCTGCATTGACAGATCCGCCAGACCCTTGAGTTCTCAAGAGAGGCGCATCCACTTGGACGGATTGCGTCTCCCCATTGGGCAGTCTCGGCCACCAGGGTCCGAGCTCGAGTTCCTCATTCGGTGCTTCAGAGAGGGGAGTTTGAAACGTAGCTTCAAAGCCGCCCTTCCCAGTCTCCGTCTCCCGGGGTGTGCTTCTTCTTACTGACCTACTTAAACACAAACCTGTCCTTTGGTTTCCCATCCCAGAAGACATCCCGCATCAACTTCCTCAACCCCAACTGATCGACCTGGTGTCTAGCTACCCCGGATCGTATCGCCCACCATGTTCAACCTTCGGAGACTCGTCTCCGCCCTCCTGCTCGCCGGCGTGGCGCTGGCTTTCTTCGCCCAGACGGCCGAGGCCGGCAAGGGCCCCAAGATCACCCACAAGGTCTACTTCGACATCACCCACGGCGATGAGCCCCTTGGCCGCGTTGTCATGGGTCTGTACGGCAAGACTGTCCCCAAGACCGCTGAGAACTTCCGCGCTCTCGCCACCGGCGAGAAGGGCTTCGGCTACGAGGGATCTACTTTCCACCGTGTTATCAAGCAGTTCATGATCCAGGGTGGTGACTTCACCAAGGGCGACGGCACCGGTGGCAAGTCCAGTGAGTAGCATCGCTGAGGAATGCTGTCGGCTACCGGCTAACAACGACGCAGTCTACGGCGAGAAGTTCGCCGACGAGAACTTCAAGCTCAAGCACTCCAAGAAGGGTCTCCTGTCTATGGCCAACGCCGGCAAGGACACCAACGGCTCCCAGTTCTTCATCACTACCGTCATCACCTCGTAAGACGCCCTCCTGATCAATACAGTGAAACCTAAGCTAACCCCGACCTTCACAGTTGGCTCGATGGCCGCCACGTCGTCTTCGGCGAGGTCCTCGAGGGCTACGACATCGTCGAGAAGATCGAGCAGGCTGAGACCCAGCCTGGCGACCGTCCCGTCAAGACTATCAAGATTGCCAAGAGCGGAGAGCTGGAGGTTCCCCCTGAAGGTATCCACGTGGAACTCTGAGCACGTACTGTGACTCCCGTCGCCCTCACTTTCACGCATGTTACACACGAGACATGTACACACACCATCGATGTCCCCGCAGTCGTTCATTCCTCCCGACAAGACTCCAAATACAAATCCAAGAGTGTTGATGTGCTGATGGCTACGCCCCTGGCGCTGCAGGCGAATACGGCCATAGCGAGTTTGCTTCAGGTTACTCCAACGAAGATGCCCCCTTGGAGGTCGGTTCCGGCGAGGGCTGGTCCCTCCTTCAGAAGGCTTTCTTCCTTGGCGTCGTTGTTGCTCTCATCGCTGTCTACATGAAGGTCAGCAAGAACAGAGCCGCGAAGGAGGATGTCGGCTACGAGAAGACGATGGCTTAGATGATAGTGGAGGAATACGCGGCAGTTCCCACGATAAGCAAAGAAATCAAGACAAAAACTGTCCAACAAGAACAGGAGAACAGCCAGGCATATTTTTGTATTGAGTGCATGTGTGACGTTGAATTGTAGTTTGAGATTGGCTTTAAGTTCTCCATGAGATCAGCCCAATAGCTGGGACGCCCACATGCGAAAGCGCATCACGTGTGGGGTCGCCCAAAAATTTCCCGTGCCCAAAACTTCGACTCAGACAAGCGCAACGAGAGGCAGACAAGATTTCGCTGCAAAAGTCACTCCTGCACCTGCCCAAAATGAAGCTTCTCAGTCTCAACTTCTTGACTTGCGCAGCCAAGGCCTGCAAGGTCTCGGCGGCCTCGTTTCCCCTCCACCCCAAGGACGCAGAGCTGGTGGAAGACGACATCGAGGTCAACCCCCAGCTGCTACTCAACGTCCTGCCCCGCTTAGACTGGGCCGCGCTGCGAACGAATGCGACCGAGGTGAGTTTATATATTGTCCTTTACATTTGTGCATTTACATCTGGGCCCCAAAGTAGACAGATTTTGTCCCGTCTGTTCTGTTTTTTCATCTCGTCAGTCACACCATGGTACCAGGGTTGCCTGAGCACACACGCCGGCGACGACCGTTTCGGACACTGCTGAAAAAATCTCATACATGATTGAATGAATGAGCAATGCGCTGACCACCACTCACAGCTGGGCTTCCCCGAACTTCCTGCTGAGCCCCCCTCAGCTGAGCAGCTCCAGGGCGACGAGAAGATGCTCAAGGACCTGCACCACCTGCTCATGGAGACGCAGATCATGGAGGGCAAGCTGGTCTGCGGCAACTGTGGGCACGAGTACGCCATCCGCGAAGGTATCGCCAACTTCTTGTTGCCAAGCCACCTCGTCTAAGCGTATTGCATGATGAACGGCAAGGAAGATGAGGGCGAGGGACGTTGATTGAGTCACTTTGGCTTCGCGGCATGACGGAACGGGGGAGGAACGTTTAGAAGACCCATGATTGCGGTGGCCGCGGACTAGATACGGCCAACAGGCGTTTACGGAGTTTCACATCATGAAAACTTGGGAGGTGGCTGCAGAGAGAACAAGAAAAAAGTCCATTTTATAGAATACGTTCATGCCATTCGCGGAACAATGACAAGGTCACTCACTAACTAACCCCGACAGCCATTGCTCTAATCATTTCGGTTCGATCCAGCTGTGGACCTGTGACGTCCCTTCCCCTTGCTTTAAACATGCCTACCGAGTAAACTCCCATGATGTTAAAAAGAAAATACATGCCGCGATACGAGCGCCGTGAAAACGTTTGAGGTTCTCGATCGTGCGTGGGTGGTATACATCTAGATGTTCTTCTTCTGGGCGGCGGGACCCATCTCCTTCTCGAAAGATCCGTAGGGGATGTCGAGACTGGCGAGGGCGTTGATGCCAACACCGAGAATGGAGAAGAGGACGATGGCTGCCACCAAGGCGTGGAAGATGCCTGCACATACGTTAGCATTTCTTGAGTCCACCAAATGCAACGACGAGACATACCAGGAGAGAAGAAGACGTATTTCTCAAACAGGGGCAGCTTCTCCCACTTGGTCTCGTTCTTGTCCTTGCGGACCTGCAACAGGCTGGCCTCGTGACGCTTCAGCTCGGCGTGAAGGGGCTCCTCGGGGAACTCGGCCTGGTAAGTTGGCTCAGATGGGCTGGCGAGGTAGATGACCGTGTACGAGTCGGAGGTCTTGCGCAACTTCTCGAGGCTCTGGCCGAGGACGTGGTCGTTGTCGGCGAGCGTGGAGGCTCTCTCGCTGGCGTCGCGGCCAAGGGGCGCGAGCCTCGTCTGGTCGATCTCGATCTTCTTGCTGCCGCACGCCTTGTGGAGGTACTCGGCGACGCTGTCGACCTTAACCTCGCCTACGACCTCTGCGACGCTGTAAACGCCGCGGATATCCTTGGAAGAGATTGCGCGGCAGAGGTTGGGGGAGCGGCAGTCGCCGCCGTCAGGGCCGCGAATGTCGGCCGCGTTGGCGTTTGGCTGGGAGACGACGAGGTAGCGGTCGGTCGGGCAGGAGGAGAGGAGGTCTTGAACGGACTTAAGGACCTGGGACTCGGTCTGGAGCTGGGCGGCGTTGGAGGCGGACTTCGCGAAGCTGGAGAGATCGATGGGTTAGCATGATGTCGAGTCGAGGGGCGGATGTTGTTCGGGCACGTACTCTGCGGTCGAGAGCATTACGAAGGGAGAGGAGTCGGTGAAGGCTTGCGCCGTGGCGCAGAAGGCCATCAGGCCTGCTGTTCTTGAAAGACGCATGGCTGGCTGTTTGGGGGATTGCTGTTCGAAGATGAGCCTGGTCTTCGATGCGATGTCTTCGTAGTGCTGCTGGACGTACGCTGGCTGCAGGACGACGCATGGCCAAGGTACCTTACCTGAGCTTCGAACGTTTGAGCCTTACGTAACCATGATCCGCAGCAATCTGATATATGCATATTTGGTCATACATCTGTAGACTCGGCTATATGCATCAAGCCTGGATATTATTGTGTCTTTGTTTCGTTCTTTCTTTGTCTCGATAAATGTGTTGCTTTATTCTCGAAGCGGTTTGTTTTCTTGTCTGTACTTCTAGATATTGCGTCGTCAGGGTGCAAATTCCCTTTCAACATAGAGATGTAGCCCAGATAGATATCTGAGCTTCCTGGTTATTGTGAGGGTGGTCGCAAGACATGAGATTGTGCAGCAGTTGATTGCATAAAAAGAAGACCAAGGTAGAGCTCAATAGCATTCCTTCACGATCGAATTGTATGACACCGTCTTGGTGAGTTGAACTGTACAAAAATGAAGTACGAAGGACACTTGGAATTCTGATCGAAGTTCCTTAACAAAAGGCTCAATACATTCAGGAATAAAGTACAGCTGTCCGTCTTGCTATTAGTTCTTTGGTCTGGGCACGGAATGATACGGTATGAATTGAAACAATACGATTGCCATTGATAGCTTGATCCGTTTCCCAGCTTGTACAGGCAAACGGTTGCCTTACATCGGCCAACGCTGAAAGACTTCCGACAGGGGCAGAATCCAGTAAACCAATGCCGATGTCACCTGGTCTCACTGACAGATGCAGGTCGAGCGAGGTCCCTCCAGCGCATTTAGCTCCTCGGCTTGGCCCGCATCAGTGGACCCTACAGAGGCCGCAGCGGCAGGGTCCCTCCCCCAGCCCCCAACCCGGGCACCTGCAAGGCTGCAAGTTCGCCGCTCTAAAAAATTCAGTCCAAGGTCCAAGACCACCACCACGAACGAATCCGCGACTGCAAACCCCGATTTCAGAAACAGCAACACCACCACCACAAACCAACCATGTTCGCCAGACCCCGACCGAAAAAGTCCGCGCTGCCGCCGCCGCCCAAGAAGCGCAAGGCCGAGTCCGCGGTCGAGGAGGTCAACTTCGATTTCGATGCGCGGCAGGATTACTTGACCGGTTTTCACAAGCGCAAGCTGCAGCGCGTAAAGTTTGCGCAGGAGCAGGCGGCCAAGAAGGCGAGGGAGGAGAAGATCGAGATGAGAAAACAGGTAAGGATCTGTATTGGTCATCGTTGCCTCGTCTCAGGTGAATGTCGCTAATACGAGGCAATCACAGGTAAAGCAAGAACGGCAAAAGGAAGTCGAGGAGCATGTCAAGGCCGTCAACGCACTGCTCCAAGAGGCGCAGGCCGCGGACTCAGACAACGACCAGGAAATTTCAGACTTTGAAGAGTGGGACGGCATTGAAGACCAGGGCAAGGAGCAAGCGGCGCAGACAGACATCGTGGACTACGAAGACGAGTACATAGACGAAGATCGGTATACCACGGTCAAGGTTGAGGCCATCGCCGTCACACGAGACGGTCTCGAGAAGCTCAACCAAGACAGCGACGAGGAAGCGAATGACGAAGACAAGGACAAGACAGAAAATCCTGCAGCGGACAAGCCGGCGGCAAAGAAGAAGACGTTTAAGGACAGGCCAAAGAAGCCCAAGTTCCGCTACGAGTCAAAGCTGGAGAGACAAGTTGGCGACAGGAAGCTGAAGGCCAAGAAGAAGGCCAAGTTCAAGAAATAAGGAGGGTATAAACTCGGATTTGTGGTTCAGAAGCTGCCAATAAGATACCTCACACGCCCAGCGTGGTTCGACGAGATGCTTGTGTTTTCTCCTCGAGACTTTCATAGACCGAGGCATTTCAGGCAGAACATGATTCTTGTTGACGGGGGTTACAAAAAAAGGAGTAAAAACAAGGCTGCTATAACTCGGTCGCAAAACGTCCCGTCACTTGCAATCCACCGCTATCGGGATCGCTTGCTCAGGTCCCCCAAGCGAGGTGTTCCAGGCCAGAAATCTATCACAACGAAAAAGCCTTGCACGAATTGACTCCCCCGTGAGAGACACAGGCTTAGATGTTGCCAATCTCGTTCTGGAAGTCCTCGAGCTCCTTCTGGACTTGGGTGTACTTCTTGGACATCTCCTCGTACTTGGACTCCCACTGGTCGCGCTCCGACTCGAGAGCCTGGACCTTGCGCTCGAAGTGGCCGGCCTTGACGTCGGTTTGTCGGAGCCTGTGGAAAAAGACGGTGTAAGTAACGAGATTCATCGGTGGGGCGGGTTTTAATGAACACGAAGGGGGGGTCGGTCGGGGGGTGGTCGAAGACTAGGGAAAAGGGGGGGAAATATTTGGACGGTTCGATGACAGGGTCCAGAACGTACTTCTCGTTGGCTTCGCGAAGGGTCTTGTCCGCCTCCTCGGCCTCCTCCTCGAGGAGCTGGAGTCTTCGCTGAAGAGTCTCGTTTTGTGTGCCAGTACCAGCGCTCTCGTCGGCAGCCTTCTTGAAGTCCTTAACTGCAGTCTCAAGCTTCTCGACCTCGCCCTCGAGCAGGCCGTTCTTGTGCTGGAGGGAGGTGATCTCCTGCTCCTTGGCCAGGTTCTCCTGCTCGAGCGTCTTGACTCTGGCCTGGAGCTCCTCAACCTTGGCGGCAGACTCGTCGGCCTCCAGACGGAGGGAGTTCATCTTCTGTTGAGAGGCAAAGAGAGACGTCGTCAGCAATGATCTCACGACAGCTTTCGGGAGGCGACATCCCTCCAGACCGCCGGTGGCAGCATGGTGGGGCTCGGACGTGAGGGGAAGACTTACCTCCTTGATGCGATCCATGGTGATGGTGTTGAGCTGCGAAAGACTTTGTGGTGGTTGAGGGAGGTTGAGTTCGGTGCAAGAAGAATGCGATAAGCAGTTTGTTGTAGTTGGGAATGAGACGTGATCGGGGAACGTGGAATCGCAACTGTCGGGGGATGGAAGCGGGAGGAAAGGGTGTGAGGTGTTGAAATAACTGCCCCTCTACATGCAAGTTCGCTCCAGCTGCGACCCGTGGCGGACCACCCTCAGCGTGCCAGCAGCCCCAGCCAGCGCCGGTGCCAGGGGCAAGCAATTCCTGCTGAGTGGACAGCCAGGCCTGATCTTCACACGCTCAAAGGCAGCTGCAATTGGATTAGCTCTGGCACGGGCGGTGGGGTCGGGTCAGGTGGAGTGGGGTTCTGTGGCACGGTGCAGGTCGCGGTGCGGCGGTGGCATTCATTCCATTGTGAGAGCCGAGAGAGCACTGGACAGTCTCATTCATGGCGTGGACGCTAGGTCTGAGCTTCTGCGCTTCGTTTCCCGGTCAACGCCACCAAACAGACAAATCCGTTTAGCCCCCCCATTCGCCTCTTGACGACGCAATAGTCTCGAACGAACGACAAGACAGGTGATGACAATACCACGATAGACGGCACACGACGACAACACTCACCACCGCAGCGAAACCACGAACACATCCAACCATCGACAACTCCGCCATCTGGCTCTAGGGACAATGTTGTCGATCCGAGACGAGAACGCCGTCAACGCGGCCCAGGCTGCTCGACTTGCCCCCGGAAAGAGCCAAATGGCTCCCAAGACCCCTGGAGCCCGATACCCGAAGACGCCTTTGAAGATTCCCCTCAATGATGAGAATGCCGTCAACGCAGGCAAGTCGGTGCTTGCACCCAAGTCCAAGGCGAACGGAGCTATTCAGGGCACCGCCAAGAAGCAGAACCTCGTCACTCCCTCCGGTATGCCTCTGAGATGACTGTCTTAGGAAAGAAAGAGACTGATGTTTTGGCAGAGACACGTGCTCGGGCGCCACTTGGAAACAAAACCACCAACGCAAAGGCAAAGAGCACCCAGAACACCGGAGTGAAGGACATTGTCAAGGACTTTGAGAAGACCCAGACGAAGCCCACGACCACCAAGAAGCTGAAGCAGCGGTCTCCCGGCGCTGCTCCCCTCAAGCTCGAGGTGCGAAACGACCAAGCTGGCCCTGCGGATGAGCCTGACGTGGAATATGCGCCGCCCCCGGCCAAAGACTTGCCTTACCAGTCTGACATTATTGAGGGAGACTTGACTTTCGAGGGGCTGAAGCCAGAGAACTTGCTCAAGGGCTACTACAACCACTTCTACAACCCTATGGGCGAGGACGGTGTCAGACTTCAGGACAGACAGCAGCAACAGAAGCTCAAGAAGGCCCTGAAGGAGACCGACGACCGTATTCTCCGGGACATCCAAGAGATGGACTGGTCCGTTGCTGACGTCCCCGAGACGGTAGCTTTTGGCCGGAGGAAGGCTCCCGCCCCTGCCCCCAACCCAGCCGTTGCAAAGAAGACTGTGGGAGGCAAGTACCCTCCTACCATCGCCTCTCGAAGGGCTGCATCCGCTTTGTCGATGGCCACCGGCTCTACCATCAAGCAGAGGAAGCCCGTTGAGCCCACCACCATGGCCAGAAGACCCCTTTCGTCTATTATTCCCCGCACTAGGCCTGCCAGAGCAGCTCTGGCCTCCAAGTCCTCCAACGCAGAGAGTGCTGTTGGCGAAGCGGCCTCCAGAAGCACCATTGGCTACAACAAGGGTCGTTCGGCCTCGTCCTTCGTCAGTGGACGAGCCAGGCCTGCCGCAGGAGCGCGACCTGCGTCAATGGATGTCTCCACACTTGTTCCCCGGAAGACTGTCGTCCGACGTGAGGCATCCCCAAAGAAGCCGGACGGACACGCCGAGGACGCTGAGGAACTTGGCCGCCTCCAGTTCCTCTCCATCTTTGATCCGGCCGGAGACGACGAGAACGATGTTCTCGGAAACGCTGGTCCCAAGAACGAGGACTTTGAAGATGATGAGTTCGAGATGAACTTGAACTTGTAGACACTGGTCTCTTGGTTGGCGTTTGGACAGGATTACCCTCACTTGTAAAACTTTATGGAATGGTTACGGACTAGAAGGCGTTTGGATGGCATCGTGAGCCTACAATATCACGACTACAGGAAAGACTGAAGAGGCCGAATGGCAGGCAGCCAAGGCTTGTATGAATGTATTTACTTTGTCAAACCCATAAATGGCTTTGCTGCAGGGAGGTGGCAGACGAAAGAGGGCCCATGTCCTTTGGACGCGAAGTCTTAGCTGCTTCTTTTTTAGTTGCTGGCCAGTTTGGCTCTACCTTACCGGAATGTATTGGTTGATTCCAGTTAGCTACTTGGGGGCTCACACGAATTGGTAGACTGTTGAGCAGTAAACAATGAAAGTCTTGGGAATTATCTTGAACAATTAAGCCGAATTCTCTCATTGGCTCATGACGCCAAAGTGACGGGGTAGCTTCTTTGACACCCCTGTATCTTTGGTGAGAAACGCGCAAAAGGTTCTACGCGTCGGGACCCGAATTTTGTCACGTGCCAGCTGCCAACCAGTGTCCACCAGTCCACTTGGAGGTATTCGAGTGTACCTGGCGACAGGAATGCGGTGAGCAGTACCTTGACTCTACCACCCGCCAGAGGTGCCTGAACCAAAGCAATTTACGGATACCCATGCTGCAACGGTGCTCTCCCTCGCCTTGTTCCGTGCTGGTCTCCGCTAAATCGCATCCCTGAAAGAGTTTGGACACTCTTCAACCTCCAACTTTCTGACCTCACTGCTCTATTTTTTTCCCGCCCTCGCCTTTCGTCGATCGCATCGCACGGCACACCGCTTCCATCTACGACCTTCGCAGATTGACTGCGTCGAAGCTGAACCATTCGCGACTGGGTATCTCCATCCTTGGATGACGCAGTTGGGCTATTGCCCCCCTTGCTAGCCCGCCAGCCGCCAACCGCCCGTGTCGGTGTCGACTCCTCCTCGGTCGCGTGAACCTCAACATCGCGCATCTGTCTCCCGCCACGCTCCTGCCGCTGTTGTCTCCAGCGATGCCCTCTGCCCTCTGAAGCATCCGACACGCAAGAGACGATGGTCGGTCGCAGGCGGGAGTGGTAGAGACAGATACACCTCACGATGACCCGCCAACCGTCGGCGAGCTTCGCGCAATTCTTTCCTGCCGCACCACGTGCTGCCAGGGACAGGGCCACCGAGAGAGAAAAGGCCAAGGCCAAGACACAAGATACTCCTGCTGCCAGTGGCCTGCTTGTTGGCCAGAAAAGTGGTGCTACGCTCAACGGCACAAGCGCCCGAGCGCCATCTGGTACTGATGGCCTACTCTCCGACTCTTCTCAACAGCCGGCCGATGGCCATGAGTCGCCTTTAGGAGATACACTCAACGCCGTTGGATCTGCGAGCTCTTACGCGAGCACTGGCTCTTCCTCCGTCTTCAGCACCTCTGCGCGACAGGCCGCCCCGAACGGCTCATCTCATATACCCACCACCAGCGGCACGCCGCTCACCTCAATAGAATCACCTTCATACTCGGGAAATGCTGGCCTGCCGAAGACGAACATGGTCCACGCACAAACCATCGATCGGGATGAGGCATCGGCCTCCCGCAATACCCCATTATCCCGCCTGAACGGCTCGCTCCCGGAGCCCTCACCCATTGAGCGCACTCCTGCGCGAGATCTTTCTCGAACCACGAAAGGCATCAAATGCACATATGATCCATTTAACGACCGGACCCTGTCGAAGCACAATAAGAAAAGTGCCAAGCCGATATACAAGGAGTTTGGATTGGTACGTACAAACATAACATATCCGCCCATGGAGGGGGGGCGTCATCTTTTGAGTGAGAGCTATGGCTAATAAACTGAGTAGGAAGATGACCCCCCCCCTCCAGACCCTCGCCTCGCTAAAGGCGGGCGATTGGGCTATATCAACACCGACTTCCACCTTCCAAAGTCTCGACTGCGACAGTCGCCGTATAATCTCAAGCCGTATCCGTACGACTCGAAAACCTCGCTTGGGCCTGGCCCACCAACACAGATCGTCGTGACTGGCTTCAATCCTCTCATTACCTTTTCCAAGGTGACGGCAGCTTTCGCGACATTTGGAGACATTGCAGAGAGCAGCAACAAAATGCATCCTGAGACAGGCAGCTATCTTGGCTTTGCGACGTTTCGATACAAGGATGCGCATCCCGGTCGCTCGAGGCTCAACCCGATCAGGGCAATTGATGCCGCGCGGCGCGCTGTGAAAGCTATGCACGGGCAGCGAATTGAGGCGAACCAAATACGAGTCGAGTATGACCCCGAGGGCAAGAAAAGCGCTCGCATGCTTGAAGAAGCCTTGAGAAGAGAGCGTGCATCCCAAGATGTACACCCTGTACACACTGCTTCAAAGGCGCCTCCTACAGGCCCGCGGGTTAATGTGCCCGAAAAGGTTCCTGGTCCACCACCATTGGCGCCAAAGGGCCCCTCGTCCCATCGGCAAGCAGTGGCTGGTGTCCCTCCCTGGGTGCCAAGTCAGCCAAAGGGGCATGTCGCTATAGAGGATAAGGCTATCGCGAAGCAACTCGAAAACGACCCGTATGTGTTTGTTGCGCACGAGCATGTGCCCGTCATGGTTACAACAATTCCGCACATGAAGAAGCGCCTCAAGGCTTTCGCTTTTGACGAAATTCGCATCGACAGAACAGGCTACTTTATTGTCTTTCCGAACACCTTCCACGGTCGAAATGAAGCCATGAAGTGCTATAGAGCTGCTAATCATACCGACCTGTTCACATACAATATGGTTATGCAGCTCTACCTCCCGCAGAACTCATCTCGAGACTCTGAGTCGGTAGCCCCAGCTCCGCGCTCACGACGAACCCCTAGCCCCGAACGAAAGCGTCGAACCGATCAGCGATTGCGAGAGGATAAGGATCGCCGCCGTCGCGAAGAGGAAGCAGATCTGGAAGAGGAAAAGCGACAAAGAGCTAAGAACTTTGACCCTGTCATGGAAGCTTGCGATGTTGTTGCCAGAGAACTGGCAGAGCATTTGATCAAGCACATCAGATCACGGGTTGCCGCTCCTACTTTGACGAATTTCCTCAACCCCTCCAATCATGTCGCGATGCGCCAGAAACTCGGTCTCAGAGATCCGGCTGGTTCTGTCCCGTCGGTTACCGTAGATGCAGGTGACGAGAGTCCTGGTGGTGCTACTCCCAACTCAGGAGCAGATCCCATCGAGCGTCGTACCGGCCGTCTAGAGATATCCTCCCTACCCCGTATTCGTAAAGCCAAGGCCACAGGACACGGAGCTCGTAATAATGTTGGGTTTATGGATCCCTTCTCGCGCAAGCGTGCTCCTCAAAGCCGCGGTGCTTTCAGGTCACTGCACCATCGACTGAAGAGCTACGATAGCGATGTCGAATCCGACGAAGAAGTTGAGGTCAGAGAGTCTGTCGCAAGGGACACGGAAGAGCCTGATTCTCGGCCGCGCAGTCGCATGAGTACAGACGATGATGTGTCCAGAGAAGACTTTGCTTCGTGGGGCCCTGCGGAGGAAGACTCCATGACTGAGGCAAGCTTTGCAGTTGTTGATGGACTGACCTCGACCAAGAAGAGGAAACTGGACCTTGAGCTCCAGTCAGCAGTTAAGCGCCATAAGAAGTCCGACGAGGAACTCTTTGGGGTCACGCTGGATAACATGGCGCCCGACTTGCCAGTTCATGAAATATCCGAGGAAGCCACGCCTGATGTCGACATGGCTGATGTGCGAAGCGAGACTCGCTCCGAAACCCCGGCCCTCTCAACCAAAGCTTCGGCGAAGAAGTTGAAGTCAAAGAAGAAATCAAAGAAACAACTGTTCGAGGAACGTGAGGCTCTGAAAAAGCAACAGCAAGCACAGTCGGTTGCGGAAACAGAAGAGGAAGAGCCGGTCCCCGCGAAGACCCCGCTGGAGGAGGTGAAGCCAGAGCCAGAGCCAGCACCAGCATTAGCAGCAAAGAGGGAGGACGAGCCTGTTGCTGCTGTAGATTTCACCTTGTACTCAACGACGCCGAGACGCGCTCTTGATCTGCCTACCGACTTCAAGCTGGATATTGCAACCATGCAAGAGTTGTCCATGTCAGCTGCGGATATGCCAGACTTGGCCAGGCTCAGCAAAAGGTTTGGAGGGGCAGATCTGGGGGACCCGCTTCTTTGGCTTTGGCGGCGCAACAGGGTACGGGAACTCAACTCAAAGGACGGGTCTATCGATCGTGCGGTTGGTATTGAAGGCTACTACGTCTCTAATTCCACCGGTTCCGCACGAACCGAAGGTGTCAAGAAGATTCTTAACGCCGAAAAGTCCAAATACCTGCCTCATCACATCAAGGTCCAGAAACAAAGAGAGGCACGGCAGGCGAAGTACAAGAAGGATGGCAAGGATGCGGCGGTTGAGGCCAGCAGGCTTGCTGTCGCTGAAAAGGTCGTCGCCAAGGGCAACTCGAGAGCTAATCGTGCAAACAACCGTCGCCACGTGTCAGCTCTTCAGGACGAGAAGAAGATGTCGGGCGACTCTGATGCCTTCAAATTCAACCAGCTTAAGAAGCGGAAGAAGCCAGTCAAGTTTGCCAGATCTGCCATCCACAACTGGGGTCTCTATACGGAAGAGAACATCAACAAGGATGACATGATTATCGAGTACGTGGGCGAACAAGTCAGACAGTCCATCTCGGAGATTCGGGAGAAGCGCTACCTCAAGAGCGGCATGGGCAGCAGTTACTTGTTCCGCATCGACGATAATACCGTCATTGATGCGACCAAGAAGGGCGGTATTGCTCGATTCATCAACCACAGCTGCATGCCCAACTGTACGGCCAAGATCATTAAGGTGGATGGAAGCAAACGAATCGTTATTTATGCTCTCCGGGACATTGCACAGCGTGAGTATTGTTCTGATTCGTGGTTTGAGGAATATGCTAACATCGCCGCAGACGAGGAACTGACATACGACTACAAATTCGAACGTGAGATCGGCAGTTTGGACCGCATTCCCTGTCTTTGCGGTACGGCGGCGTGCAAGGGATTCCTCAACTAATCCTGATCGCTTCTTTCCGGTGTTTTTTTTTTGGGTGGACGGGTGGGTTGTCTGCATTGCGCCCTCATGCATGTTCATGGGGGCTGGTTGCGTTGCGGGAGTAGGAACTCAACTTCTAGAGTCGTTTTTTGCGAGGGGCAGTCGTCGACGGTGATTGATCGTCGTCTATCATTTGTTCTCTTCACACATGCATACCCCTTGGATCCGTCTTTGCGTTTATATTATATGCATACCAACCGAGGCCGGGTAAGGGAATGGAGACGAAACTTTTGGGCAAAGGGCGGGGAAAAAAGTGTACTATGAAATACTCTCCGCGGATGCGGTCTTTGGCGTTCATTTTCGGAGCAACGGGGCTACTTGGGCCCATTTGAAGGGCCAGGCTGGCCAGCAGGTTACGTGATATTTATCTGCCCACGATGACGGGAGAGGAGAGAAGAGAGGACAGGCCCTGAGTTGTGCGAGGGCGAGCGAGAAAACCATCTCTAGGTAATCCAAGCGTATATCACCACAATGTACATATGGCTAAGGAGACGCGGTCGGTGTTGGGGACTGAAACACGAGACCCAATCACACGCCGGGAGACTGGTTATTAATATCAATGGCGTTTGGCCCCCTGAGCATTCTTCTACTGTGTTGCTGTTGAGGGTGAAGACTTTTGCAGACTGATGTTTCTGACGAAGGAGCTAAATGGGTATAAGGGACCGCTGAATTCCATATCATACCTGATGAAAGAGTGAGCCTGTGTTGATGTTTGGCATGGCGAAGTGAAACCCACCAGTAGTTGACCGCCAACACGAACCCTTCGCCATCTGCTGGGCAGGACTGTGAAACCTTGTGGTACCACATGGCAGGGAGGTAGAGCATGTCGCCAGGTTCGAGGGTGACTCTGACGGGTTCCGCGAGGTGAGAGTACGGCGTGGCGTTGACCTGGGGAAAGTCCGGGTCCCAGGTCGCGAACGGTACTTTATCTGCCAGTTTGGCCTTCTCCCCATCCGCGTCATTGTCGTCGTCGTGATCAAGCTCTAGAATGAGGTCGTCTGCGGAGAACTCTTTACGCTGGCGGTGGTACGTCGCGGGGATGAGGCTTTGCTCGTTAACGCAAGGGTGGCATAGGGGCGGGAGGAGGACGAAGTGCTTGCGGCCGCGGACCTGGACGTAGATGTTTTCGTAGTTGTCCTTGTGGAGGGCTGTGACAGAGCGGGCGTTGCCGATCCAGAGGTTTATGGCGTCCGGGTCGCGGTCGAGGGCGATGCGGGCGAAGGGGACTGAGGGGGGGACGTGGTTGAAGAGGGGGAGGTATTCGTTGCGAAGGTTGTCGTTTTCTGAGTGGGTTAGTGGAGGGTTGGTTACAGATTGTGAGTATGAGTGACTTTGAAGTGAGGGTTGGGAGTTAATGTGAGTGAGAATTGAGTGCTAGTGGTGTGTTTGTGAGAGGGTCGTGAGAATTATGAAGCGAGAGCCGTGAGATGAGATGAAGGTTGAGAAGGACATACGGGTCTGGGCGTAGCGGACTTCTGAGGTGGTGTCTTTGCTTCGTTCTTGATCTATCACGTAGTTGAGAAACTCTTCAAAATCTTGATGTTCCTCATGGGGTTTTGCGAAGACTACTTCTTCGTCATGGGAGGTTGGCGCATCGGCGTTGCTTTTTTACGTGTTAGTCGTGTGATGAGATTTTCAGCTATGGACAACAGCAGGTAGGTAACCACTCACCCAAACGGGGTCACGGCGACATTGACAGTCTGATCCTTGAAGACATCCAGCAGGAACTCCTTGTCCCAGGTCTTGTTCGACCTCCACGAGGAAGCAGCCCCACGGACGACGAAAGGCGTGTTGCGGGCGACATAGCGCATGAACTCGAGGGGGCTCGGCTCCTCGTCCAGCTCGTCGATGAAGGCGCCGTTGAGCTCGTTGAAGGTGGTAATCAGCTCGGACAGGGGGTCCCCTGGTGGTGCCGGGGTTTCTGAGTCCATGGCGCCGGGCCTGATGTGAGAGTGAGTGCGGTGGTACGCCCGGCGGTGGTGATGAGGATGAATTTGGGATGGAGTTGTGGTCGCATGACTAAGACAGGGTGTGATGGGAGGAGCGTTTTTCTCGTATGGAGAGCGAAAATTACGACGAATGCCTCAATGAATGCCTCAATTGAGCCGGACAAGGTGTAATGCAGCAAATCTGCCCGATATTTCCAGGTGGCTCTCGGTTTAGTTTTGAAAATGGTCTTATTTGTGCCGGTGAGAGAGAGTCTATTGGCGTTTCACGGTTTCAAAGTCATGTCATTTAAACGCGGTCCCGGGAAGTGTTCACGGGTTCTATGATCACCAGCAACAGGCAGGCTACTGGTTTAGTGGCTACAGCTAGCTGAAGACGAAGTGCCGGCTCAGTGGCAGGAAAGGCAAAAAAAAAAAAAGAAAAAAAAAAAAAAAGAAAAGAATGCAACACTGGGAAGGCTGTTGCGGAGGAAAACACGCGAGATACAGGGGTGTTCTGCTGTTGCTGTTGCTTTCTGCGCGCGAAGGGTACCCGGAAAAAGAGGGGGTGGGAGCACGGGTATCGTATCGAGGGTCTCTGGGGGTCTTGGGGAGGATGGGGGTCTCAATTGGTGGTGCGAACCGCACAGGGCGGTGCGGAGCCAATGAGAAGGGCGGACCGGGTGGGAAATGGCCTGACTTTGGCATCAACTGGGCTGATTATGATGGAAGCATTGGTGATTTTGAGCAAACACACCGCACCTCGCGCAAATGCAATCACACTTGACTTGGTCTTAGGCTACCCAAGCTGCTGCAAGATTGCCCATCTGATTAATTATAGATTGTAGTAGATCAGATCTGCCCATGCCGGTCGTGTCGCCCTTTTGGTTATATAGTATGCGTCGGCCGCCCTTTTCCTTTTGATGTTTCGTTCCGTCAGCAGAAGCTCCGTCCGACCTTCCTGACGATATTCCCGTCGGGTGAACAGCTTGCTTGCCGCCAATAGCAATCAACACCAATTGCCTTACACCAACACCGCCGACATCGACAAGTGTCACTTGCATCAATTCAATTCTTCCGATTTGAACCCGATCGAACTAACCGACAGCCATGCTGCGTTGGAGGGCATCTCATTCACTGTCGCCGTCACGGTCTCATCACAGCCAGCATCACCACCGCCAAATACAGGAACCGAATCCGGCCGTGCAAAGCCACCTCAGCCTGCGGCTTGAGCTTGCCACAGTTCACACGACATGAATAATCACCATAATCTACCGTTTTCGCCGTGTGCCTGCATTCCAGAACGACACGATGACCACGAACCCCATCACTGGCGCATATCGATCGGTGTTCGGGACTCTCGGCTGGGCTGCGCTGCTGCCAATCGTCACATTCACCTCCTCGGTCCGTCCACACGACAGCGTGACGGGATTCCAGGCTCTCTGCTAAGACATGGCTCGCTTAGCCGTCCGCAGCGCATTACCTTTACCAGGCACCCAGGGTTCAGCTCTGTCTGTCTTTATTCCCCCCATGCAGAGGGGCATGGACCGAGGCACGTTTCCGAGCTGGACGGACCGGATTTCGAAGGATATGCGCCCGCTTCAACCTGCTCCCTCGTATCTTCCCCCGAGGCCGCGGCCGCCGTTAATGCGCTAGAACAAACCGCGCACATACACCACGAGGTGTGCGCACGTACGCACCGCACGCAGCCACGCAGCTTGCACTTACACCCGGCTGGGAGCTTCCAACACCCCGTGTGACCCGCGCGGGTTGCGCCCGGTCCCCCGAGACCCCTACACTTGCTGACCTTCAAGCGAAGACGAGACAGGAAGCGCAGGATGGGGTTGAGGGGAAAGGGAGGGGGGTGAGCACGACTCGAACAGCGAATCAGTTCAAGAACTGCGCGCCAATGCTCCTGCAGACAGAAACGGTGGATGTTCTCCTTGTCCTCGGGCTGCCTGTCTTGCGTGTGTTGACACGCACAGCACTACCTCGACAGCGCCGGCGCCAGCACCACCACCACCACCACTAGCACCCCGTTTCTCAACTGTCTCTCCGGCTCTGGAAAGACGAGCGGTCCTAGTGAGCGCGCCAAGGACAACCGACAGGAACTCTTTCTCTATCAATGTCTCTCGCTTGGATGCGGGCAAAATGTGCCTGTTCACCTTTGATACATTCCGAAGGGAGAGACACGATTTGTCTGTCGCAGCATTTTGGTTTTTTACCCCCCTTGACCTTCTGGAATGTCCCAGAGTCTTTCTAGGTTTGGTCTATCTGTTTGAAACTCGTCCACCACTGGCATTTTTTGGGGGTAGACTAACGCGAAGCGTACGTCCACCACGCCTCGGTAGGCATCAAGCGGCCAGGGTGAGGGGTAGCGTCCTCCAAGTCTGAGGAACTGAGATGCAGAGCAGAAGCCAGAAGCTACGCAGAGATGCAGCAGGTACGCATGGCCGGCGGCTGTTTGACTTGTCTCGTGCGCGAGCTGCTCCGCTTGGCCTTCATCTCAGGATCCCCCAACTTGGATTTTGACTTTGTCGCCCCCAAAATAGCCCCCCCAAGGACGTTCCCAAACTACCCCTCAATTTCCAACCTTATCTTTCTTCCCCGTCGCGTGGATTTGCCCTGCCTCGCCTGGAGCTGCCCGCGAAGTCCAGGCGACGTCTCCTCTCGTCCCTGCTTGCCATGAGGTCTGAGCTACACGCGTCCCATGATTTCCCTTCGGATATCCTGGAGGATCAGTGGGGGGCTGGGCTGGACTTTTGCCATGCGGCAGCGCGAAGGTCGTCAAGTTGGCGCGAAAAGGAGGGCAGCACCTCCTTTACAAATTATTGGCTTGAAAGAAGCCTTTCAGGTCTTGTCTCAAGTCTTGGAGGACACCCCCAGGAAGCAGGACAGGAGAGCTGCAGACGTCAGCGCCGGTGTCAGCGTCAAGCGGGAGAAGGGGGCTTGCTCTAGTGGGCGATCTGCCATCACATACACTACATTCAGACACGCAAGACGTCTCCAGCTTGGCGGCAACGCCAAAACGCCCCTGGCTTGGCTTCTAGCGTCTCCTGCTCCAAGCCTTGGTCTTGGTCTTGGTCTTGGATTCTCGCAGAGACGAGGTATCTTCTAAGTCCCCGGGTCTCACCTTTTCCCCCCGGGGGGGGCCCATCTCACTAAGTTTCCTGCCCACCCTCGCAGGGAAGTCGTCCCATGTTCCCCGACACACCACGCCATGGCCGTCGGCAGGTTCCACCACCATTCAGTGGACTGAGGTGCGGTGCGGTGCCCACTGCTTACCGACAACCAGCGCCCACCCCGCTGTTCGCTGCCCACACAAGTATGTGTATGTGCGTGTGTCTGCCATGCTCCTCACCTCCAGCGACGTGCTGTCGGGTCGGTTGTCCTGAGCCACCTAAAGCGGGTGCAGTCACCTCAGGTACTGCGATATCATATGCGGCGCCATTACTTGAGGAAAACGCCCTGTGGAGAGAAGTGCCGGTACCTGGGCCTCACCTAAACCGCCTGACGTAAGGCCTGGTGGTATGCAGCGAGGCAGTCACCTAAGAGCCATCGACGAGAGGTAGGTACCTATCTAAGTAGATCGGTACCCCTGGATGGGGTTCCTGGTGGTGGTGTGCGATCCCCTCTGCACACTGCAACAGGGACACTTTCGCATCGCACCCGCCCTGCCTCTCCTGTCCCGCAGCGTCCTGTCAGGTCGGCCAACCCACACCACCACGCCACGCCACGCCGTGCTTGCTACCACATCTCTACATCCACCGATCGATACTCACTACCTTACCTACCTACCTGACCTTGCCTTAGCTCCCAATCACCTGCCAAAGAAATACGTCGTCTTTTGTCAACACCATCAACCTCCCGCTTTACCAACCCAGGGTCGCCCCCCGAAAGCCGTCCCGATTTACGCCTGCCTTGGTCGCCGCATATTATTCTCCGCATCTCCCGTCGCCCAAGCTGCCAAACTCCAACGAGATTAATTGCTCCCAGACTTGAGCACCTGCGACTTGCTCCGCCCGCACCACAGACGCCGGGCACAAACAACACCCACCAGCGCACCGACGAAAGGACATGCGTCCCAATTGAATACCTCCCGACCTGCGACTAACACAATTTCCACAACGTCTTCCAAGCCGCCAGTCCGGACTAGCAGGATTAGTCTTGTCTTCTCTCGTCTGGCTCCATCGCAGGTGCCCGCCGCCGTCGTTCCACTTCCACCCTCTCCCGACACCCGATCGACCGACGAACGTGGAACCGACCGACCACGTCCAATCCCCGTCTCCTCCCAGACGCAAATACACACTACTTGACAGAGCCGCGCCCACATCCCTCCTTCGCGCGCATTGATTTCAAAAGCTTTCACCTCTCCGTTCCCCAGTTTCGACAGACCTGCACAACCAACGATCCCCCGGCCCGTCGCTAATGTCCCATCCGTCTGGCCGCCTCGCCTAGCCTGCCCGTCGAACCGAATCATGAGTGCGACGACCAACTCCTGCAGGCCTCCAACATCATTCTGTGCAGATAAACAGTGGATGGTTCGAAAGCTCGCCTGAGCCGCCTCCGCTTCTGCAACCGAGTTTAACCTCTTCTTCTGCTGCAGCTGCTGCAAGTCAACTTGCAACCGTCGCCGCAGATGATTTGGTATCTGCTGTATCCTTTGCGAGGGTATGGACCGCTTACATTGCCGCCCGCACTCGTGCCTCGGTCTCACGCGCATCTCTTGACTAACTGCCCTTCAGAACTACGGAAGCTCCTGTCCTTGCCCCGAACCATCCTCTCCGCCGATGCTTTGCGCGATACGGTCGATACGCTGCGAGACACGTCGTTACGACACTCATCATTTCTGTGGCCGTTGCCGCCATCCTCATCTACCCATTTCCATATCTATACACGTCCGACCTTAGCAATGGCGCCTCCAATCTCCCCCACCACGTGTGGACTGCAGCGCAGCCGCTCAAGGAGAACAGCACCGAGCCCGACGTTATAATGCGTTCCATATGGGTCCACGGCAGTTACATGAAGGCTTTGGAACGCGATGTCTTGCTTGGCGCTCTTGAACTGCAAGATGAGCTTCTTGGTCCCACCAAAGATTTCAGCCCGCGCCGGCCCGTAACGACCCTCCGTCTCCACGACCCGCACGTGGATCTCGCTCCAGGAGACCGGGATGCCTTCCATGTCGTCAATGGCCTCACAAATCAGTCTTGGTTCTTCCATTCGCCACTTCAGTACTGGGCCTGCTCCACGGAGCGCATACTCGACGACGCGGACATTCTATCGACGGTGAATGCTAGGAAAACGCAACCTACCTCAGTCAATGTGACTCTGAGGCACTCCATTGTCTTCAGCGGGAAACGCTTCGAGGACCGAAAACTCATGGCAGCGGATGCCTTGGTGATCACCCTAATACACCTCCGCGATTCCCCGGTTGGCCGCCAATGGGAAAGAAAGGCAGAAGCGCTCGCTACACGTATGAGAAATACGTGGACCGCATATCCCGCCGATGGCAAGAGCATGACCAGCCAACTCTATGAGTTCCAATTTATGCCCATCTCTATGCAAGATACGGTAATACTGGCTCTTGCATACGGCCTGGTATCGGTTTACTTCTTATTCAGCCTTTCAAAATTACGAGCCGTCAAGTCCAAGGTCGGCCTCATAGTCACGGTCTTCGCTCAGATCGTTGTTTCCATAATGTCGAGTTTCACGGTATGTGCCGTTTTTCGCGTCGACCTCTCGGGGATTCCACAAGCGGCGTATCCGGTCGTGGTTCTCTCGATGAGTCTCGAGAACATTTTCAGACTTATCAACGCCGTCATCATGACTCCCTCGGAAAACAGCACGAGTAGTCGAATCAGCCGTGCATTTGGCGAAACGGCACACATCGCTTTAGCCAGTTCGGCGCAAAACGTCTTCATCCTGTGGGGCCTGTCCAAGGTGGTCTCACCCGGCGTGTCCGCATTCTGCACTTTTGTTTCCGTTGCAATTGTGTTTGACTTTTTCTACCTGTCGACATTTTTTCTGGCTGTCCTCAGCGTCGATGTCCGGCGAACAGAGCTGGGTGACGCACTCGCCAAAGCATCGCTCAAGAACAATCGATATGGCCAGGAGCAGCCACTCAAAAGAAGCTGGTTCGAGGCCATGCTTCAAGGGAAAATCGCTCTGTCAACTCGGATCGCCGGCACCGTCGTCATGATCACATTTGTCTTGATTGCGCAGTGGCACTTTTTCGAGAATGACACGATGTTCAGGCTTGTACGTGGAATTTTCAGGATAGGTCGAGACACCGTCAACTTCAGCCAGCAGAAGAATGCGATGCTTGTCGACATTCATCAAGCGCGCAGTCCGACGTCGTGGCTTCGGTTGCAAGACCACGAAAGCGCGCGCGAGGTCATCAACGTCATCAAGCCAAACTCCCACAGTTACATCGCGCGCGTCTACGATCCACTGGTCTTTGTACTCAACGGCGCCGATCGTACCCCGCGCATGCCCGAGCGACCCTTGTTACCAGCGCTTTACGACTTCATCGACCACCACTTGAAGCATTTTCTAGTTACCGTGCTGTTCATCGTGTCGGCTGTACGTCTTCTCATGCATTACTTGCTATGGGGTGACGATGCCGAATCCAGACGAAATGACGACTTCAGCGATCAGCCTCTCCTTGCAGTCGAGACATTGCCGGAGGAACACGCCCTCGACGTTGTTCTGATGTCGTCGTCTTACGACGGTCACATCATCTCTGTAGGTCTCGACCGCTCAGTGCGGGTTTGGGACGTTCGATCGGGCATCATTGGCTACTCGCTCGCTGATGTCGAGCCACCGCCGGAGAATCCCTTTCCCGTCTTGGCCGTCGCAACAGACAAGAAGTCCAACTGGTTGGCTCTGTTATCCTCTCGCAAGGTCTTTCTATGGAACTTGCAAGAGCACCGATGGAGCAAATCAGTGCCGGTGGAACTGAACGGCCAAAAACCGGAGGGTTTCTTCTTCGGCACGCCGACGTTCGACTACTCGAGCCCTCTGGTCATTGTGCGACGAAACGGAACGATGACCCAGATCTTTCCCGGCTCAAAGGAGCCCATGGAGTTTACCATCTGCAAGAGCCCGCTCACCTCCGTTAGGCCGCTGGTGCAGAAGAACGCGCCGGGCGGAAACCAGCAACTATCGATCCTGACTGCATCCAGAAAGGGGTGCATTCACGTTGCAACGCATCAGCAAGACAACTCGTGGGTTTCGCAAAGTTTGGATGTTCACTCCATCGAGGATCGAGACGCGTATCAAGTCGTGCCGCTGTCTGCGCTTAGCTCGTTTCTAGTTGCCAGATCTCAGACGGTCGATCTCGTCGACGCGAAGACCAACACCCTGCTCCACACGTTTGAAACGGAGCCAATCCAGCCGCGGTCACTCAGGTGTTTCCACTCCTCGCGACGCAAACCGCAGTGCGGCTCGGTTGGACTTGTGTCATTTGGCATCGCTTACAACCACGCTGACTCGGGCGACTGTATCATCCAGACTTACACCTGTAAGGAGGAAGGGAATGTCATCTGCTTCCGCAACACGAGCATGCCGCCCAGCCGCAGCTGCTCTTTGTGGCATGATACAATCGAGTCGAAGCGGCAAATCGCCAATCCTGGCACATGGGAGGCGCTCCCTAATGGCTTTCTTGTTGGTGTTCGGAAGGACAACTACGACAGTGGATCAAGCAGTGGAGAGTCGTCTCCGACGACAACGGGTGGCCTACGACGGAGGATGTACCAACGACTAGAGAAGAGGCCTAGCAGATCCCAGGACAACTGGGAAGTATGGGTCGCCTCAGAGTTGGGTCGGGAGGAGATTTACGAGACCAAGCCGTTGCACTCGGAGTTCGAGAACGGCTCGCATCTCATCATTTCTGAGCTTGGTCCTATGGTCAAGGTTGGCACAGCATCTGTGGCGGTGGGGTTCGGAAACATCATTAAGCTCATCACGGTCGGTCATCAGCATTTCGAGGACCTGGCCGAAGCCGGAAACGGGGACCTCCTGAATCTCGGTAGCCGACGAAGGAAGCCGGCGGGCGGCGTTACACACCAGCGCATGAAGGTCCCATCGTGGATTTGAGTCGACAAATGGGAAAAGTGCAGTTTTAGGACCGCGATATGGACGGCGTATCTTTTCCGCTTTTTATTCTTATTTCTTCTTTTTATATACCCCGGATCACGAAGGGAGTTTGTTGGGATATCGATTTGGGTGTTTATATTTTAGTCTACTTGGTGATACCTCGTCATGAACTGGTGGGGATGGGTTTTTTCAGACTCCCAATACGATGAATTGAAACTTCAATTATGATGGTCAACTGTTGTATGTTGACGTGAGCTGCTGTATGCATAAGGCCTCGGACGCGGGTATTGTTGAGAACCACCACAAATGTCACGAGCGCGCCCCCGGAGAAAATCAAAGCAAAAGTCGCCAGAAAGACTAAGGAGATGGCGAAACATAGTCTCGCGAGCAGTGTCGAGTTTGACTACGTCCCCAAGACGATTGATGAGTTCGTTGGCCGAGCAAAGTCGTAGTGACACGATTTTCACATATCATAGTACCTAGTGCTCGATGTACGTCAATCGACGCAGACTTATGATGAATACTGGGTCGAGGATGACTGGAGACCACGGAGGCCACGGATAGTGGAATGAAATCTGGAGCGAATGCCCAAGTACGTAGACGCACCTGTTGTTGACTGATATCTGTAGAAGCGAATAGTTTCTAGGTTTTGACAAAGGATCCCTTGAAAGGATGCATCTGGTGGGTGTTATTGTAGACTTCGGGGTCTAAGGGATGTTCGAAAACTTATATACGACTGTTACTGAAAGATCTGTCTTCCCAGTACGAAACACGTGAGCTATCGAAGTGTCGTCTGTCTTTGAGGTTGGTGGTTTAGTGTAAAAGAGTCTGGTATTATACAGTTTGTGGATCCTGAACCACAAATGAAGCAGCTGGTAGAAACTTACGCAGCACAGGATGACCAAGATCTCAAAGGCATCGTCACTCTTCTAATAGAGTAAGAGGAGTACATCAGAGATTTAGCTTGATTGTGGTGTGATCTCTGTCCGTCATCGTCAAAAGCCCGAGTTTATTTGCACTTGTATTAGAATGTGTTTGTTTTCTAGTAGAACCTAGCATATCGACTTGTTAGAACTCAACTGAGGACTTCCTCTGATCAAACTCGATGGTGCTAGAAAACATGGTATACAGCCCAGACCATTGCTCTTCTCAACCCCGGTTGGAATTGAATGGGGTTTTAAAAACAGAAGAGGCTTGGTTGACGACACTGGTCTGGTCCTCATCAAAGCGTCCACATATGGAATTGTGAGCCTGCGATGCGTCTTGATTACGCCACGCGCGATGCTTACTTGTTGAGTATAAAACGCGATTCGGTTCGGTTCTTATATTCGTTCTTTTCGATGCACCAAATGCAGAGGACTGATCCTGTTTCTTCTCCAGCACTGGTGGAAGCATCGCAATGCAGCGCTGACGCCTTGACCAAACCCTCCTTAGTTCTTGAATAAGTTGTGTTCTTATAGGTCGTCGTCGCTGGGCCTTGTCTACGTATTCCTGACAAATCCTTCGTCAAGAAGTCGTAATGGCTTTTGCCCGTCCTGATATGACACATGGAGGCTTTTTTGAGCTTGGCGGTGCTCGCCCATTCTGGTCTGCCTGTGTTTCGAGCATGAGTTTGCGAGCCTGAGAACGACCCAGTCAAGCCATCTGTGAAGATTTCTTGTGAGGTAGAAGAAGTGGTTTGGTCCAGCCCCCGTTTCTAAGTTGACGGCGCACCAGAAATAGTCTGAGGTCTCTGCTTTCTCTCAGCAACAGAGGTAGACCATTCACAGCTGATATCTTACACAGGAAGAAAAGACAGTTCGGTCTGTTCTTGGAGAAATTGTCTTCCTGTAGGTCGGCATCGTTGGCTTTGGAGTATTCTTACTGGATTATTCGTCACAGAGTCGATTTGCCCTCTTGGCCGTTCAGATATTACACATGGAGATGCATTCAAGTGACGACACCGTTGGGTTGAATGTCCTCGCGTGGTCTGGTTTAACTGCGCTCCAAGCTTGCTTCTCCTGTAAGCATTGGCCGTTAGTCGTAAAGTGAATGATAACACGACTAATATATACCCTCGTTATGACGGACAACAAACGTCTTGTCTCCAGTTCAAGGTACTTCAATTTCATGGGACTATCTCACAAAGCCAATAAAAGTGCCATCAGGCCCCGTTATTCCCAAGCCATCGGACAAATGTCGCCGGGATAACAGGCTTCTTTTTGGGCTTCTACAATTGAAGCAAGCCGCTAATCGCGCGTGTTTCGTGAATCACTAGTTACTCGGCAGAGTCTGCGATGCTTCGCCCATAGTTATGTGTGTATTACTGCCCGTATAAATTCCGGATCGTGAAGGGAGGTCGAAAGGGAGGAGCTGTGGCATAGCGTCCTTCGAGACGGGCTATGCTGGCTAAGCAACTGTGGCATGAGGCCCTTGTAAAACGTCAGTTTTCATCGCTATTAGACGCAGACCCCAACAGAGGTCGATTCTGTTGCTTGCGTTTTCCATAGAACGCCCAGAAGAGCCAGGGCTATGTATACAACTTCCGACCAGCCCATAACTACTTTCAGAGCGGGAGTCGTGTGGCCAACGTTCTTCGCCTTTGGACTCGAGAGATTCCTGACGACCGACGGAGTTCAAGCCGTCAGAGAAGACTCCATCTGACCAAGGTGGCCATGTCTGCATGAACCGAGACGCAAAACCGTGAAAAACGTTCCGAGTTGTCCTTTGTGGAAACGCAGATCATGCCCATTGGTATGGAGTTCGTTGCGGCGAGACTGTCTGCAACTGAAACCAGGCTTTGGGACTTTGTATCATAGATGAAGGCTCTGGAAGATTGTTTCCACTGCTGAGAGAACAAACTGAATCTTTGCCCCGAGTGGTAAAGCTAGGGGCTCGCCATCATACGTTTTCAAATCCTTGGTCAATCCAAGAGTCCCTGCGTGGCGCGTCCTTTTTTATGCTCCCATTGAATCGTTGCTGAGTTATACAATCCGGATTAACAGGAGAGGGCGGCAAGCAGAATCAGAATAGAGCTTTCAAGCGTCTGAGTTCAACACATTCCGCTCTGATAATGAGGGGAGAACAGACAATGCCAACTTCCTGCTGAAACAAACAGGGAAAAGACAGTATCCCGCCGACTGAATTGCGGAAAAAAAATTCCCATGGCTGCATGAAGGACTTAACTAACAATTTGACTCGGGACATGGTAGAAGAAGGTGCGTCGTTGTACTCTCACCGCAAACAAGTAGCAATGTCGATATGTCTCTGGATTTGGAAACGAACGAACAGGCTATAAAACTATGGTAAAGAGTACCCATCCTCTCGTCGAAACAACGACGGCCTCACTATCTCGATGTCGGGACCAAGATGCTCAGATGGTCCAGCACAGGGGTTTGGGCACAGTCTCTGAGTTTCCTCTGACGAGCTCGTTCGTTACGAAGTAACAGCCACTTGGACTCTTCTGGAGTCTGGCGTCTATTCAAACAACAATATCTATGAATCTCATGGACGCTGAGCTAAAGTGTGCCCGAGAGGAGAGGTCATCCGTCCTAAGAAAGAGTTGGAGCGATGGGAGTCTAGACATCCCCAACGGGAAATATCACGAACGCCTGGATGAGGCCAAAGACTTCGATTCCGCACTTGGAGTAGTGGGATGTCAATTTCTGCAGATAATCTAGTCACGGACAAGACCCAAACGAGAATTTACTAGTCTTGTAGATCTCGCCCATAAGACCTCGTCGAGTCTTCACGACACCAAACGCAATGGATCGACGGGCTGGACGGCCATCCTGTTGACAAACTTCCAAAGCGGTGCTTACGACTGACACAACGATCGCCAGCCCGCGCTGCAGAAGACACAAGTGAGCTCACCAAGCACTCTAGACCGTCGTCCTCCGCGTATTCTTACCGAACACAACAGCTTGGACAGAGCACGCGAGTCGTACAGTGGAAAGATATGGCCGAATCCAGATCTCATCTGTCAAGAGATTCTACGACTTTGGCTATGATGGACATTCAGAGTGGACAGCGTGGAGCACCATGACCCAAGACCATGGGCCGCCCGCAAGAGGCCGAGATCAACAGAGTTGGGCATCCATCGGCACCTCCAAACGACACACTCTCGCCTCTCGAGTCAATCACACAGATGGGCTCGACCCATAACGACAAAAGTCCCGTCCCCATCGACGGACCCCCATGTTGCCGGCGCGGAAATCAAGCTCTCTCCTTTGCAAATGCTCCGAGCCGATCGATCAATAAAGGGGAGAAGAAAAATGACAAGTGCATAGAACATTAATCACATTGGATCTCAACCTCCAAACCGATATTCGGCTCGGAACCCAAATCACCGCCCCTTGTGCTGACCGAGCCCGGTAATTCTTTTCCTTTTCCCTCCCGGAGAAGAAAATGCCTATCGATATGTGCGCCTTTGTAAGTATATCTCGATTTTAACTCTGGTGATATACCGGTACCGCAACCGTAGCATATCTCGCTTGAGTCCCACCGCAACATCGACAACAAGCAAAGCCAGCCACCGCCACGACCACAGCCCACCCCCTGAGACGGGATCCAACGGCGGCAGTCCATCTCCCTTCACATCGTTAGGATCTAGGGGCATGGAGAAAACGGTTCGGAACTTCGCAGTGCACAGAACATGTTCGTCGCCCATCAACAGACGTGGAATGGGAGAGAGAGAGCTGGGGGATGGCAAAGGGGAAGGGGGAAACGCGTTCCATCGAGTCCCACGTCGTTGGGCATCCATCTACGAAAATGTCCGAAACCCCATCGAGAGTCTCTTAATCATCTCTTTCCCCTTCCTCAAGCCCCCATTCTGCAATGGCAAAAATGCGTGATATAGACGGGCCATTTACGAGGTATATTTTCACGCCGCCGCGAAACCTCCAATCTCCCTCAGGTGAACGTTGCTCAACCTGCTTTTCCTTTCCACCGTCAAATGCAAGCCCAAGCCTTCCCGTTCCTCCCCGCCTCCCTTACCACCCCCATGCCCCTTTTGATATTCC